ACAATTTTTCTAGAATTGTCGAAATGAAAAAACACAATTTTCTGGATTAAAAAAAAATATTTTCAAATCCACTTTTTACAAATCTTGGTCCGGAATCATTAACACTTAACATTTGATGTTTTTCAATCAGTTCATCGAGATTTATATTCCAGCATTGTTTGAGAATTTTTAGGCAAATTTTCTTGAAGAGACTCAACTTTTAAATATGAATTTTTTACCCTCTTTGGAACACCCTTCGAAAATTATTCAAAGACGTTCTCTTATAGAAGTTATTTTCGGCTTCACTTCTTCGAAAATTTCCACACTTTTTCCAGAATCGATAAAATAAAAAATCAAGATTTCCTAAATAAAAAAAACATTTTCAAACCGACTTTGGAAGATCTGCGTCCGATACCATTAACAATTTAGGTTTTTCGAATCATTTCTTTGAGATGTATATGTTAGAATTGTTTGGTAATTTTTTGTCAGTTTTTCAAAAATATGAAATTTTCAAAATTAATTTTTTGCCTCGTTTTCGAGCAGCCTTCGAAAATTATCTATAGATATCTTCTTGCAGTTTTCGACTTTTAGAAGTTATTTTCGGCTTCACTTCTTCGAAAATTTCCACACTTTTTCCAGAATCAATAAAATAAAAAATCAAGATTTCCTAAATAAAAAAAAAAACATTTTCAAACTGACTTTTAGGAAGATCTGGGTCCGATACCATTAACAATTTAGGTTTTTCGAATCATTTCTTTGAATTGTTCAGCTAGAATTTTTTGGTAATTTTTTGTCTCTTTTTCGAGCAGCCTTCGAAAATTATTTATAGACATCTTCTTGCAGATTTCGACTTTTAGAAGTTATTTTCGGCTTCACGTCTTTGAAAATTTCCACACTTTTTCCAGAACCAATAAAATAAAAAATCAAGATTTTCTAAATAAAAAAAAACATTTTCAAACCGACTTTTTGGAAGATCTGGGTCCGATACCATTAACAATTTAGGTTTTTCGAATCATTTCTTTGAGTTGTACAGCTAGAATTTTTTGGTAATTTTTTGTCAATTTTTAAAAAATCTGAAATTTTCAAAATGAATTTTTTGTCTCTTTTTCGAGCAGCCTTCGAAAATTATCTATAGCCATCTTCTTGCAGATTTCGACTTTTAGAAGTTATTTTCGGCTTCACTTCTTCGAAAATTTCCACATCTTTTTCGAGAATCAATAAAATAACAAATCAAGATTTCCAAAATAAAAAAAACATTTTCAAACCGACTTTTTGGAAGATCTGAGTCCGATACCATTAACAATTTAGATTTTTCGAATCATTTCTTTGAGATGTACAGCTAGAAATTTTTGGTAATTTTTTGTCAATTTTTCAAAAATCTGAAATTTTCAAAATGAATTTTTTGTCTCTTTTTCATAGACATGTTCTTGTAGATTTTGACTTGTAGAAGTTATTTTCGATTTCAATTCTTCAAAAATTTCGACAATTTTTCCAAAATCAATAAAATGAAAAACCAGGATTTTCAAAATAAAAAATCATTTTCAAATCGACTTTTTGGAAAATCTGAGTCCGATACCATTAACAACTTGTTTTTCGAATCATTTCGTTGAGATCTATAGGCCAGAATTTTTTGAGAATTTTTAGTGAATTTTTCAAAAATCTGATATTTTCAACATTAATTTTTTGATCACTTTTCGACCACCCTTCGAAAATTATCTACAGACATTTTCTTGTAGATTTAGACTTGTAGAAATTATTTTCGATTTCAGTTCTTCGAAAATTTCGACAATTTTTCCAGAATCAATAAAATGAAAAATCAGGATTTTCGAAAAAAAAATCATTTTCGAATCGACTTTTTGGAAAATCTTCTGGGTCCGATACCATTAATAATTTATGTTTTTCGAATCGTTTCGTTGAGATCTATAGGCCAGAATTTTTTGAGAATTTTTTAGTCAATTTTGCAAAAATCTGAAATTTTCAACATTAATTTTGTTACCCCTTTTCAACCACCCTTCGAAAATTATCTAGACATTTTCTTGTAGATTTCGGCTTGCAGAAGTTATTTTCGGCTCCATTTCTTTGAACACTCCAGCAATTTTTCCAGAATTGATAAAATTAGAAAACACGATTTTCGAGAATAAAAAAATCATTTTCAAACCGACTATTTAGAAAATCTTGGTCTGAAGACATAGACATTTTATGTTTTTCGAATCAGCTCATCGATATTTATATCCCAGAGTTTTTTAGACATTTTTAAGTCAACTTTTCAAAAATCTCAATTTTTCGATAGCTCCTCCATATTTTGACACTTTCGACTTGTGGAAGTTATTTTGGTTTCATTTTTTCGAAAATTCCAACAATTTTTCTACAAAAAAAACACGATTTTGGAGATTAAAAAAAACATTTTCAAACCGATTTTTTGGAAAATCTGGGTTCGGTAATTATAATTTTTTGAGGATATTTAGACAACTTTTCAAAAATCTCTAATTTTCGATACCTCCTCCAATGGATTTTTTTGCCCTTTTTCGACCACTCTTCGAAAATTACCTAATGATATTTTCTTGTGGGTTTCGACTTGCCGACGTTATTTTTGGCTTTATTTCTTTGAAAATTATGACAATTTTTCCAGAATCGATAAAATGAAAGATCACGATTTTAGAGAAAAAAAAATCATTTTCCAACCGAATTTTTAGAAAATCTTAGTCCGAAGACATACACATCTTATGTTTTTCGAATCAGTTCAACGATATTTATATCCCAGAATTTTTTGGAAATTTTTAGTCAACTTTTCAAAAATCTCAATTAACTTCTATTCAAACTTTTTGACACTTTTTCGAGCACTTTTACAAAAATTACCCAAAGACATTTTCTCGCAGATTTTGACTTGTTGAAGTTATTTTCGGCTTCATTTCTTCGAAAATTGTGACAATTTTTCCAGAATCTTTAAAATGAAAAATCACGACTTTCGAGATTAAATAAAAATCATGTTCGTACCGACTTTTTGAAAAATCTTGGTCCCGAATCATGGACACTAGATATTTTTCAAATCAGCTCGTTGAGGTTTACATCTCAGAATTTTTTACAATTTTTGGACAACTTTTCAAAAATCTTCAAACTTCAAAATTTTCGTCTGATCGTTTTTGAAACACTCTTGAAAATTACTTAAAAACAATTTCTTATTCAGTTCGACTTGTAGAATTTATTGAGAAAAAGTCTTAACTTTCAGGTAATTTTGTAGTTTTTTACTAAATTTATTAAGTAGATAAATTTTTTAAATATTTTTTCCATATTTGTAATTTTGAACATTTTAACATCAATTAACTTAATTTTTATTTCGTCTGTTAACAATTTTGTTGTTTTTTAATTATTTTTCTTTGTATTAGTTACAGTCTCTGGACATTTCATGATTCCTAGAATGTAAAAAAGTAGGTCCTCCATTTCATCTGTCTGTCTGTCGTCGGTCGCTTGTTGGTGATTTTATTGAACAATTAATATTAAAAACTGTGAGTCGCCTTACAATAAAAGAATTTTTGACTATACAGAGTGTTTTTTTTTTTAATAGAATACTCTATGTATATTTACATAGCATGATTAGGGTCAATTTTTAAATATCGATATTTTTTTAAATATAGAAAATACTTGACAAAAAATAATGACAACAAACAAACAGAATATGATACAACAATAAAATACAGGGTGTTTCACTTGTAAAGACTAAAATTTAAAAAAATAATTCTGGTTATAATACTTAAGAAGATAAAAAACAGAACAGAACAGTTTGGTGTTTCTTTCGCTACAATGATTAGCAGAATTAATTAACAAAAATTATCACCTGCAATTTGCAGGAACGCCTAACAAGAATTTTGTTTTCCTTTCAAATTTTCACTAGGAGAAAGGAGAAACTTCCATTTCATAAAATAGGAATTAACTTGTAAAATAAACGGAAAAATGAACGTTTATTTTACACGGTTCGAACCGTAAATTGTGTTTCAAAAAAAAAAATCAAACGGTACTGTGTGCAGAATCTTGCAAAAAACACACAAGAAAAATTACCTGTCGGGAAATAGTGACTTGTGGACCAGTTATATGGAATTTTTAAACTGACTAACTTTTTTATCGATCACAAAAATTTAGATTTTATCGACGTATTAATTATAAAATTCCTGTTACCATAAATTGAGACATCTAATTATGAATTATTAAATTTATCAACACCAATTTCCTGCGGAGCGCGTTTAACCGATAAATCTTGCAGCCGGTAATAAACCGAGGAACTAAGAATCCTGTGGTCTTCAAAAAATTTGGTGGCGGTTTTCCCTGTTTCCATAGACATTCCAATGTAGATTTAAATGAGCATCTTATTAAACAGACTCGAAAAATGAGTTTTCTGAAGCAGATCTGACATTGACATTTAGGAGAATGTGGTTGTTCTAAAGAAAGAAATTTAATCCGCTATCTTTTAAATGTTGCGGAACATATGAACTTAAAACTGATGCGCCTGAGAAATGTTGGCTTTGAATTATTTTTTTCGTGTTTGTCAGATTATTGTAGTTTTAAATGGGATTTATTTTGTATCAATTTTTAATCTAGTTCCTGCAGCTCTCATTTCCTCAATCTGCCAAATTCACAATCTCCACGTCCAACAATGCCTCCTATTATCATTAAAAAATCCTTTTTATCCAACTCGTGACTTCTGTCATGCCTCGAATTCCCCCCAGCGTGCTTTCACGTCCATCTCGTCACTTCCAATCAATAATTACATAACACCGATGCTGGAACAAACTACAAAATGACTCTCATATTTCGACGCGAAAGGCAAAAAAACCCACAAAAGACAAAGTAGCCGAAAAAACCTCATTGCAACAAAACCCGAATAGAATATGACAAGCATTGTATCTAAATTTAATGAACTCCATCAAACGTTATACAAACGCAACAAACCGAAGAGGATTAATTGACATTAATGGTTCCAAAATCAAACGATGTACAGTTAGCCTATAGAATCCGTTCTTTTGTTGCAGGCTGGTTCTCTTTGACGAACGAAAAAGGTGAAAAGAGCGCAGTGGTGCACACGTCGATTTTGCAACTGGTCCGAGAGCAAGTCTGTTCTTTCGTCAGTATGCAACCTCTGACAGCGTACGCTTCGCAAACGGCCGATCTAACAGGTAGCTGCCTTTTTTTGTTTGTTATGAAATATGAAAGTTGGATGGTTAGTCATGGCACTTGCTGTGTCACGTAAGAGCCAATCGACCGGAAATTACGATTCGAAAGATAGGGACAAAGAAGACGAGAAGATTCGGCTGGAACCCGTTGCCGGACAAACGACCAGTTCCTGCAACCCGACCAAAAACGAGCAAACCGACGCGAAATTTAATCTTCGTTAGCGATATTCGCCTCGGATTCGTGCACGAGCGGTGTTATCGACTCTACTCGAAATATTTGTATACTGTTAAAATTTTACAACTGTAAGAGGTCGTTCGAGCATTATTTGGTTACCACAATTTTATTAGTGTACAAAATAGCATTCGAACTGATTGTCACAGCTTTCACATATTCTTTATTTTCAAGATGGCAGCGGCAAAGTGCAATATTTGAAGACTCAAATCCGGGCGGGGCAGCTCTTCCAGCTCCGGGCGGTTTTCCAGCACCGGGATCGTCCTGACGGTGGCAGGAACTCGACGCGGTCCTCCAGGATTTCGCGGTCGGCCAGAGACAAGGACCTGTCTAATCGATATGCTCAACTCGTTAGCCAAAACAATCAAGTGAGTAGTTTTGGGCGATGAGGGACGGTTTTGAGGGAGTTTTTGCAGGAATTGTACGTTCCTCTTACTGCTAAAGGGGAATTCTACGAAATTCACAGTTCGATGAAGGCGCGCCTCTGCTTTCCGGGAATGCTGGACAAAACCGGACCTTTGGCTCTGGATAAAGACTGTCTTTATAGAATAACGCATCTGCTGAGGCGGGTGGCGCTCCCGGTCAAGGTCAAGCTCATCACAGGGCCGCTGCCTCCAGGATTACCCAAAGATTTTACAGGTAGAGGAAAATTTTATATATTGTTTTTTCAGTACCCAAAAATTTAAATAAATGCTTCTTGGACTATTGCTGAAATTTTTACAAAGCAGTTGCAATTTGATCATTTTAAAATTTTGACGGATCACAAATTTGGAATGGCGTGACCCACAGAAATATAAAGAAGAGTTAGTCAAGATGTCATCAAAATGACATACAAATTTTGAAAAGAGCACTATTTAAATTAATAAATTTGACTGCTTAAAAAAATCTTATTCTTATTATTCTCTATGGCAGTTAGTATTGATAAGGTAAGACTGTTTTTGGCAAATGACATATCTTCCAACAAAATGAGGGCGGGTGGGCGGGGCTAGCTTTTTTAAGATATGACTGATTTTGACACTTTTGATATATTTCAACCATTTTCGAAAATTACCTAGACATTTTCTTGTGGACTTACACATCCAGATATTATTTTCGGCTTCGTTTCTTCGAAAATTTCTTCCAAAATCATCAATTAAAATATATCAATTTTTATAGTTCCAGTAGCGAATAGTACAACAAAAAATGTACGATTAGCGCTTTTTTAAAATTTTTTCACAATCTAGATTAGTTTCCACTCCCACTCCATGGAAGGACATAATTAGCCCCGCCCACCCACCCTGCCTTCATTTCAGTGATTAATTTTCTCCGGTCTGAATATAATGAATGATCTTATAGTGAGCAGAAATAAAATTAGTTTTTAAATGACAAGACTGGGGGTGGGCGGGGCTAGTACTTGATAAGATAAGACTGTTTTTGTCAAATTGCATATCTTCCAAGAAAGAAAGTAAGGGTGGGTGGGCGGGGCTAGCATTTTGTAAGAGATGAGTGATTTTGACATTTTTGACATTTTTCAACCATTTTCGAAAATTAACTAGACATTTTCTTCCAGATTTACAATCCAAATATCATTTTTGGCTTCGTTTCCTCGAAAATTTCTATCCTTCTTCCAAAATTATCAATTGAAATACAGTGGACGCCGCTTAATGTGATCACTTTGGGACTCAGACAAATTGATCACACTAACCGACTGATAACAATAAGCGAAAACCACCATCAGAGACAGGAAAACTTGAAACAAATGAAAATCATGAACAAGAGAGTGTTCATTATGCTGGTAAATGAAGGTACATAAACATTAGAATTTATTTTTAATTTTGGTTATCATTCTGAGAAAGGAACTCTTGATTTCCTTTGGTTATTTTAGAAAAAACGGGCTGAAAATTTTTTTTCTCTGATAAGCTGAGATCTCGTCGTTTTGACGTGCTCATTTTTACATAAGTACTACTCAAATTTAAAACAGGAAAAATTCGTTCATTCAAAAGACGAAAACGCGTTGGTTACTAAAGTCTGTCACTGATTGTGGCTCTATAAAGTGAGTAGTATAAGCGAATGTATCTTTTGAGAGCAATAATAGTTCATTAAAAACAATAGTACTTTCAATCGTCTCGTTTCTTCAAAAAAGCTTGTATAAGAATTGGGAGATTGATCACAATAAGCGAAATATTGATCACAATAAACGGAAAAACTGTAATGCATTGGTATTGCGTGGGCCCGTTCCAAGCCATTTTGATCACACTAAGCGGTTGATAACATTAACCGTGATCATATTAAGCGGCGTCTACTGTATAACACTTTTTATAGTTCCAGTAACAAATAGTAATATGATAAAAAATTTACGATTAGGGTTTTTTTTACTTTTCTCACATCCTAAATTCTATTAGGTTCCACTTCCACTCTATAGAAGAACACAATTAGCCCCGCCCACCCACCCTGTCTTCATTCCAGTGATTAATTTTATCCGGTCTGAATATTGTAATGAATGATCATAAGCTGAGCAGAATAAAATTAGTCTTTAGAAATATAAGACTGGGGGTGGGCGGGACTAGTACTTGATAAGATAACACTGTTTTTATCAAAAGACATCTTCCAACAAAAAAAGGGCGGGTGGGCGGGGCTAGCATTTTATAAGATACGACTGGTTTTGACAGTTTTCTCATTTTCAAACATTTTTCAACCATTTTAAAAAATTAGCTAGAAATTTTCTTGTAGACTTACGCATCCAGATATCATTTTCGGTTTCGTTTCTTCGAAAATTTCTATCGTTTTTCTAAAATCGTCAGCTGAAATATAGTAATTTGTTTAGTTCCAGTTGTAAATAGTACAACAAAAAATTTACGATTAGCGTTTTAATTTTTACTTTTTTCACATCCTAGATTCTATTAGTTTCCACTCCTACTCTATAAAAGAAAAAAATTAGCCCCGCCCACCCACCCTGCTTTGATTTCAGTGATTAATTTTATCCGGTCTGAATGTAATGAATGATCTTATAGTGAGCAGAAATAAAATTAGTCTGGGAGTGGGCGGGGCTAGTACTTGATAAGATAAGAGTGTTTTTGGCAAATGTCATATCTTCCAAGAAAATAAGGGCGGGTGGGCGGGGCTAGTATTTTATAAGATGTGACTAATTTTGATACTTTTGACATTTTCAATCATTTTCGAGAATTAACTAGTATTTTCTTGCACATTTACAATCTAGATATCATTGAGGGCTTCGTTTCTTCGAAAATTTCTATCGTTCTACCAAAATCGTCAAATGAAATATAGCAATTTTTATAACAAAAATTTACGATTAGCGCTTTTTTTACTTTTTTCACATCCTAGATTCTATTAGCTTCCACTTCTACTCCATAGAAGAAAAAAATTTGCCCCGCCCTCCCACCCTGCCTTCATTTCAGTGATTAATTTTATCCGATCTTAATGTAATGAATGATCTTATAGTGAATAGAAATAACATTAGTCTTTAGAATGACAAGACTGGGGGTGGGTGGGGCTAGTACTTGATAAGATAAGACTGTTTTTGGCAAATGGCATATCTTCCAAGAAAATAAGGGCGGGTGGGCGGGGCTAGCATTTTATAAGATACGACTGGTTTTGACACGTTTGACATTTTCAACCATTTTTCAACCATATTCGAAAATTAGTTAGAAATTTTCTTGTAGACTTACGCATCCAGATATCATTTTCGGTTTCGTTGCTTCGAAAATTTCTATCGTTTTTCTAAAATCCTTCAGCTGAAATATAGTAATTTGTTTAGTTCCAGTTGTAAATAGTACAACAAAAAATTTACGATTAGCGTTTTTTTTTTACTTTTTTTACATCCTAGATTCTATTAGTTTCCACTCCTACTCTATAAAAGAAAAAAATTAGCCCCGCCCACCCACCCTGCTTTGATTTCAGTGATTAATTTTATCCGGTCTGAATGTAATGAATGATCTTATAGTCAGCAGAAATAAAATTAGTCTTTAGAATGACAAGACTAGGGGTGGGCGGGGCTAGTACTTAATAAGATAAGACTGTTTTTGGTAAATGACATATCTTCCAAGAAAATAAAGGCGGGTGGGCGGGGCTAGCATTTTGTAAGAAATGACTGATTTTGACACTTTTGAATTTTCAACCATTTTTCAACCATCTTCGAAAATTAGCTAGGCATATTCTTGTAGATTTATACATCCAGATATCATTTTCGGCTTTGTTTCCTCGAAAATTTCTATTGCTCTTCCAAAATTGTCAATTGAAATAAACACTTTTTATAGTTCCAGTAACAAATAGTATAATAAAAAATTTACGATTAGCGCTTTTTTTTTACTTTTTTTTAAATCCTAGATTCTATTAGTTTCCAGTCCCACTCCGTAGAAGGCGATAATTAGCCCCGCCCACCCACCCTGTCTTCATTCCAGTGATTAATTTTATCCGGTCTGAATATTGTAATGAATGATCATATGCTGGGCAGAATAAAATTAGTCTTTATAAATATAAGACTGGGGGTGGGCGGGACTAGTACTTGATTAGATAACACTGTTTTTCTCAAATGACATATCTTCCAAGAAAATAAGGGGTGGTGGGCGGGGTTAGTATCTGTTAAGACCGATTTTGGCAAATGATATATTCTCTCAGAAAAAAGAGGGTGGGTGGGCGGAGCTAGTATTTGCTAAGATAAGACTCTTTTGAGCACATGACGTATCCTCTAAGAAATTTAATTAAATTATAATGAGATATGACACTAGATGCTCTAAAGCACTTTCAAATTCTTTCCAAACAAAGAAAATTTGACTGATTTTGACACTTGAAATTTTCAATCATTTTCGAAAATTAGCTAGACATTTTCTTGTAAATTTACCCATCCAGATATCCTTTTCGGCTTCGTTTCTCCGAAAATTTCTATCGTTATTCCAAAATCGTGAACTGAAATATAGCAATTTTATAGTTCCAGTAGCAAATAGTGCAACAAAATATTTACGATTAACACTTTTTTTTATTTTTTTCACATCCTAGATTCTATTAGTGTCCACTCCCACTCCTTAGAAGGACATAATTAGCCCCACCCACCCACCCTGCCTTTATTTCAGTGATTAATTTTATCCGGTCTGAATATAATGAATAATCTTATAGTGAGCAGAAATAAAATTAGTCTTTAGAATGACAAGACTGGGGGTGGGCGGAGCTAGTACTTGATAAGATAAGACTGTTTTTGTCAAATGACATATCTTCCAAAAAAATAAGGGCGGGTCGGCGGGGCCAGCATTGTATAAAATGTGACTGATTTTGACACTTTTGACATTTTCACCATTTTCGAAAATTGGCTAGATATTTTCTTGTAGATTTACACATCCAGATATCATTTTCGGCTTCCTTTCTTCGAAAATTTCAATCGTTCTTCTAAAGTCGTCAATTGAAATATAACAATTTTTAGTTTAATAAAAAAATTACGATTAGAGTTTTTTTTTTCATTTTTTCTCATCCTAGATTCTATTAGTTTCTACTCCTACTCCATAGAAGAACATAATTAGCCCCACCCACCCACCTTGCCTTCATTTCAGTGATTAATTTTATCCGGTCTGAATGTAATAAATGATCTTATAGTGAGCAGAAATAAAATTAGTCTTTAGAATGACAAAATTGGGGGTGGGCGGAGCTAGTACTTGATTCTTCCAAGAAAATACGGGCGGGTGGGCGGGGCTAGCTTTTTATAAGGTACGACTGGTTTTGACACTTTTGACATTTTCACCATTTTCGAAAATTGGCTAGATATTTTCTTGTAGATTTACACATCCAGATATCATTTTCGGCTTCCTTTCTTCGAAAATTTCAATCGTTCTTCTAAAGTCGTCAATTGAAATATAGCAATTTTTAGTTTAATAAAAAAATTACGATTAGAGTTTTTTTTTTCATTTTTTCTGATCCTAGATTCTATTAGTTTCTACTCCTACTCCATAGAAGAACATAATTAGCCCCACCCACCCACCCTGCCTTTATTTCGATGATTAATTTTAGCCGGTCTGAATCTAATGAATGATCTTATAGTGAGAAGAAGTAAAATTAGTCTTTAGAATGACAAGACTGGGGGTGGGCGGGGCTAGTACTTGATAAGATAAGACTGTTTTTGGCAAATGACATATCTTCCAAAAAAATAAGGGCGGGTGGGCGGGGCTATCATTTTATAAGATACGATTGATTTTGATACTTTTGACATTTTCAACCATTTTTCAATCATTTTCGAAAATTAGCTGGACATTTTCTTATAGATTTACACATTCAGATGTCATTTTCGGCTTCCTTTCCTCTAAAATTTGTATCGTTCTTCCAAAATCGACAAATAAAATATAGCATTTTTTATAGTTCCAGTAGCAAACAGTATAACAAAAATTTACAATTACCGATTTTTTTTACTTTTTTCACATACTAGGTTCTATTAGTTTCCACTCCCACTCCATAGAAGGACATAATTAGCCCCGCCTACCCACCCTGCCTTTATTTCAGTGTTTAATTTTACCCGGACTGAATGTAATGAATGATCTTATATAGTGAGCAGAAATAAAATTAGTCTTTAGAATGACAAAATTGGGGGTGGCGGAGCTAGTACTTGATAAGATAAGTCTGTTTTTGGCAAATGACATATTTTCCAAGAAAATACGGGCGGGTGGGCGGGGCTATCACTTTGTAAGATATGACTGATTTTAACACTTTTGACATCTTCGACCATGTTTCAACCAAACTTTTCTAAAATAGTGTTCGCCATGTATCTGATGAAGTGAAAAAAAGTTCTTGCTCTTAAATTCTTTAATACTCTTGAAACGAAAGAGAGCGACTAAAAAAATTAAAGTATCCACATATGACATATGCGTTGTAGACTTTGTTCAAAGTAAGGTTTTGGAAACAATTGGTCCAAAGTCTCTAAAATTGTCGAGGCAAGACCCCCGAGTTTTCGGACTACCCCTGCATTTTTTACATTTTTTTTAAGTCTGGAAGACTCTTGAATTTCTATTCAGCAGAACCCGTATTAAAATTTTTGGCAATGATCTAATTGTGGTCTTTTTACGCTTCCTATGGAAAATTATTTTAAAATGTTGACATTTCGGACAGCAGATTTGGGATGGCGAGATCCACAGACATATAAACAAAAGATAACCAAGATATCATAAAAATTAAATACAAATCATGTAGAAAACAGTATTTAAATTAATAAATTTGACTGCCTTTAAAAAATCTTATTCATATTATTCTCTGTGGAAGCTTCAGTTTTTCTATACAAAATTCCCAATACAGAGGAGAGCTGTTTCTGAAAATTTGTGATTTTTCATGGATATGGATCACAACCTCACAATAGAAGGTTTGTCGATTCTCTTATAAACCTAAAATGTGTCAAAATACAGATATATGTTTTTTTTTACACTTAAACAAAATTTATTTTATTCGGTTTAAGATTAGTAAATTCGTTAAAGCAAGACAGTGTAAATTATCTATTTCCACAGCAGATTAATGCCTTAGAATGTCTATATTCCAACGCAGGCGGCCCGACTCCCAGTAAAAGTCTCTTAATCCTTACGAAATATCATTTAATGAGCGTATCTATCAAGCCATTAAATTTTATTTATAACATCGCTTATAGAAAAACTCTCACTCTTATTCCCCCTCGACGCCCATAAATTATCACCAACTAAAACCGAAACCATGAAACAAAATCGCATTCTTATCACTTCCTCGAGAATTTATTCAAATCAAATTTACATGCACTATCAAATTTTATGGCTCCACTGCATTCGAATAACACAATTCCGACGTATCCTTGCGCAAGCGACTTTATGTCTCATAAATAATAATTCCAATTACCTTCCCACTCGATTGTTGGTTTTTCCTCTTCGCCCAACTATTCGAAAAATCCTTTGATCGCTCCGAAACCTAATCCCGTTCGCCAAAACACGCTTGTTGCATTTCTGTGAAGAACATCGGAATTTCTTGTAAAATTAAGCATTCGTCGCTTCTATTTTCGGCGATTCACCCATATTCAGGGATTTTTTGCGGAATTTCGACAAAAAGCCGCCTCGGAGATCGCAACCGCAAGAATGTATCAGTCTTAAGGTACTGTTAAGTTTGACAATATGTACACACTTGCTTGTTTAGTGCGAACTTTGGAGATAGTCGGGCCCAGGCGGCCTCCTTGTCGCACTCCGGACTCGTCGCTCCGTCTCTGTCCGGCACAATTTATTCCGTCCTGTAAATGTTAATGGACTCTGTTAGAAGGATGTTCCGTTTAGTTTTTTGTCGCAGGCCAGATTGATGTTGTAATAATGATGTTGAAGAAACGCGGAGGTGACTACGGGAGAGAGAGAGAAAAAACGGCGAAATTGCATTTCAATTTATTTCTTACATGGTACGAATGGACGGGCTGATTTAGACGATGTTTGAGAGAGGAAAAATGGATACAAAGGCTTGTAAGGATGCGTTCGCAGAAATAATTGACGGGTTTTAAAGGCTGCGCACGTGGGGGGTTATTTACGACGGGTTGGGCGCATGGGAGGAAAGAGGGGCGTGTATCGTGTTCCCCGTAATGATCGAAATTCCACCGAGATGGAGAAATATCGCGGTTGTAGATTTATGGAGAAAAATTATGGGCGTTTTTCGCAGTCGGAGTCTTGATGGTGTATTTTGTGTTGCATAACCTAGATGTGTTGGTGCTGGTCCGTTACCAGATACTAATGATAAGATAATTTAAAACTTAAACTTTAAAATTTACGTTATTACGTTATCAGTGTCAAATTTAAGAATTATCATGAAGTGTTTTTCAGTAAAATGCTACAAAAAACAAAATGTATACATATCTTGTTTATTTTAATGGTTAAAATTAATTAATGCACTTATATACCGTTCAGCTTGTTTTTAGACAAAGGTAGGCCATGTACATCTAGGAATTTGGTTGGTAGCCAATTTCGAATATGCGAAGATCCCTAATGGAAAATGAAATTTGATTTTCTGAAAAATTACTCAAAAAGCCTTTCACATTTTATAGTAATTCGTGTTAAAATTCGACTCTTGTCTATTTCTCGAATCAATTGCAAAAACAGTAGATGAGCAACTTCAAAGACTTTATACACAGCCACCTCCAGAATTCTAACCTATATTTAAAGTAGTAACAAAAATAAAACTATCATTTTTTGCTTTTTCAGACACTTTCATCCTCGAAAACAAATTCCAAGAGCCGCTCATGGTCACCTGCACCCTCCCGCCCCCCAACCAGGACATCATCCAGCACCAAATCAGCTGCATCAACCTCAACTCCAACTTGAAACTCTCCAAAAGCACTCTGGGCTTCGATTCCGAAAACCGACTCTTCAAATCCCAGCGCCTCCAAGCAGCCCTCGCGTTTTGCCACAAAAACGTAGAAAACTGGTACCGAGAAGTCCGAATAGCCCCTGACTTAAAACACGACACGTTTTGCCCCGAGTGCCGACAACCCCAGTGCGAATGCAAGCAATACGAAGACAAACAGATCATCACAAAAGAAGCCATGGAAAAGTTCCCTAAACCGAAAAAGTGGTACAAGCACTTCAAAATCTTGGGGAAGAACGAAGAAGGACCGCAGTTCACCGACATAAGAGATCCTTTAGACGGAATGGAGAAAGGCAAGAGCATAGAGAGGTATAAAGACATGTCCAAGCTAATTGAAGAGAAGTTTGGAAGGAAGAGCTACAACCCTGTGAAGAAATCCGCGAGTTTTATGTTCTCGACGAAGAGGATCGACTTGGAGGAGACGTCCCGTGGAGGGAAAAACAACCCGGCGTTGTTGAAGTGTCAGAGTTTGGACACGCAGCTGTATTCTATTTCGGAAAGCCAGAAGAACCACCCGGAGCGCGGGTCCATGCGGAGCTACGATTTCCAGATGTGTATTCTGGATGAAGATGCGAAGGAAGAGTTGAAGTTGGACGAGATCAAGCCTGTGGTTGAAGTCAAGTTGAAGAAGACTAAGCCGGATTTGATTCCGACGCTGCCGAAACAGGACCATGACCATTCGTATATAACTGAGAGGCTCTGCACGGAGTTCCACGTTAAAACCAAAGTACAAAAAGCTAAATGTGGGAAAATGGTGGACGGGAGATATAAGAATGATCTTCCGAAGACCAGGTCTGTGGTGGTGCAGATTCATGAGGTGAAGTCCAGTGAAGGGTTTGTTAATGTCGACGATATTCCGTATAGTCAAGTGGCTGATGAGGTGTGTCAGCGGAAGAATGAAGGGGGCGGGGCGAAGAGTCAAGATGAGAATATCTATGCCGAGATTTGTGAGAGTTCTTCGGGTTGTCCGAATTGTGATAATAGTAAATTGTGTGAGTGTAAGAGGACTAAGACGGAGTATTGTTATGTTAAGTTAGGGTCGAATGGTGATAGTGTGACGCAGTCGGATTCGGATGAAGCTATATATAACACGTTGAGATGAGGATGCGCTTAACTCTAATTTAATTATTTTTTTATTAATATTATGAGTAATACTGTTTCCTACCAATAAAATATTTAATATTTTATCCGAGTTTTATTGTCTGAAGAATCTTACAAGATACAGTTAAAAACTGAAAAACTTACAATGTCAAGACTACTTGGAAACATTGGGAAATTTTAGAAATCAAAAATTTATTTCTTTTCACCACAGATGTCGTTGAATGGTAAAAATAAGATGTCCGAGCATTTTGATTAACAGAAAACAATATAAAAGCTAAATATTCTGTCCTTGAACTTATACTTAAAAAAATATACTTATATAAGGCGGCAACTTATGTCATTATCTCTAGAGGTACTTCAAAATAATATTTGTTCTTTTTTGTATCATTAAACAATCTTATTTTCAATCTAAAACGTACAAAATGCCAATCATTATTGTTTTCGTTATCTATCTTTTTCATCGGCCTATCTGATTTTGTATTATTAAAATACAACTGATAACCTGACTAACGAAATCTGATCTTGTCACGCATTTGCAACTGCTGCATTATTTTCATCTTCATTTTTAATCGTTTTGGTGGTTTTGACTCAATTCTGAATAATTTAAATATGTCCTAGTTGCGTCAGAATTCGGAAAAGAGATAATTTGGAATAGATTGGATGTCCAAAATTCAAACGTTGCTCCCGGTCCATTCTGGTTCTCCTGATATAATATCAAAAATTAAATGCGTCGTGGAGCACAATGGCACCAAGGATATTTGCGATAAATCAATTAAAAACATCTTAAACTTTGTAATTCGTATTGCAATAATCTGATTAAGCAAACAACTTCCATTTTTATAATTATCAGCAGGTGTTTTTTCTGTAAAGTGCTAAAATTTCAAAATTTATATCTTGTTTATTTGAATAGTTAAGTACCACTTCTATAGCACATTTTAGAAAACAGGTTTTGCAACGGTGTTGTTCATTATTAAAGACGTATCGTTTTTCTGAAAATTTTCTCATAAGTTCTTTTTTTCACGTATATAATTTAATCGCCACCAGTGCTAGGACAATTGTTCTGTAAAATTCACACTTGCGGTCTTTGGTTTTGCTTATATATCTTTTTTTAAGTTTTTTGCTCTACAGGATTCTGAAAATCGTCGGAATTTAACTCCTGCGCAGTCGCATATTAACTCTTGATGTTTCCATAAATTGTACTCCCAGTTTAAAGTGGTTTTTATGACAAGATAATAAACATTATCACCTCGTCTATACCCCACTACAGACAATATGAGTTCAATAACAAAGTACGGCCCTGCAAGGAACCGACCAGTTTCTTATTTATGGCTAGGGATTTACTTTATTGTCTCCATCATCAATTTCGTCACAATGGACCTATCATAAAAACCTCTTTAAACTTGGAAGACAATATATATGTAAATCAAAATGTGGGGTGGTTATTAATTTATTATTAATTAAACTTTAATCCAATAGACCTAGATCAACAAAGGAAAAACCTAGGACTGACATATCTAACATACATAAACTACTCTACCAGGGAAAACGTGATCGCACAGGAATGGCAAAACATATAGTTTGTAGTGTATGTAAGTTATTAGTATTTACATTAGAAAATATCAAGAAATTGAGATTCATTATATTTGGTAGCAATAAATCAAACTAGCTAATTATAACAACTTTTATTTTCATCGGTACAATAAAGATCAGTTTCTAAATACTTAATAATAAATAAAAATGTTAACATCGAAAAAAAAAACAATGTACTTAATTATATAATGACAATATTAGTATTATTATTAACTAAGTGAGTACTTATTTACTATTAAAGAGTTGTCAAACTCAGTGGAATTGTTTATTAGTTTTATTTTGGTTATTATTTTTAAGACGTATCAGGTCTCTACCAACATAGATAAAGAATAAAATGACACCTTGCGAAGTTGCTAGGAAGTCAAATAAAAAAACAAAAACCACACTAACAGAAATTTCTGCTACAAAACCAAAAATCCACGTAAGTCCAAACAAAAAGAATAGAACATAATAATAATAATAATAATAAATGCAGTGCGTTGAACTCGACGATCTTGGCGAATTGCGTTGTAAACAAAACAACAAGTTACCAAATTAAACACTAGAATAGTAGAAATAGGCCACCACACCCCAACATAAAGAGCAGAATCGGTTGGATAACAGATTCCCGACTTATTTTAACGTACGAATCACTGTCTAACCCTACAAAACAATAAGCAAAGGAAGGCTAACCACAAACATGGTTGAGTTTTTCATAAGATGTTCGAAGTCGTACTCTTTACCGAGAACGCTGACTCTGAACTGGAAAAGTGCCATCAGGAACGTCCAACAAAACTGAACCAAAACAGAAGAGTGAACAACAACCCTTGAGATCACACAAAGGGCATAGATTTTTAAATATTCGTCAATATTGTCAGAAATCAAAAATACTACAATCTGAGATATACCGGAAAGGGTAAAAAACAGCAAAATCTTAGTCTTGAAGTCTTGCCGCCAGGTTTTAGACAATGAGGCTTTCAGAATTATGCCGAAGAAACCTATTAAAGATAACACGCAGTTGACTGACGTTCGTAATCCACTCAAGAATAATCTGTTCAATTTTGGTGTAGGTATCTATCTTCATCTCGTAGTAAAAGGGAACCAAAGTGTGTGGCATGCCAGAAATCGCACTGTACCAAAGAAGGGAGTATTTCAGTTGCGTTGTCTCTCTTCCAGAAACCTGGAATACTGTGGGGTAGGTCGTACTTCCAGTACACACACGCATTTTCGTATTTCGTTTGGGAATCTATTTTGTGAAACGTCGATATAGGGCCGGAAAAATTTCCCTTAAATTCGGGGAGAATAACGTCGAAGATGATACTCACTGTTTCGTTTATTATAGTTGTATTTTCGTTGAATAACACATCGTTCAAATATATGTTTATTATAAATGTTGAGTTTTGGCAAATTTGAGCTTTCAATTCTTTACTTAAAACTAGTGCACTAGTTAAATTTTCGTATGTCAAGTAGTTGAATACATCGAGAGAATCGTTTAAAACCAAGTATGTGTTATTTTCGAAAAGTATCAGACCATTGAAACTGGGGCAATTAAGAACCAACGGTATAAAATTGTCCAAGACGTTTGAAAAATCGCTTGTGTGTACTTGGTTTTCTACTAACACATCGGTGTAGTATAAGAGCGAGTCAGTTGCCATATAAAGTTTCTGACTTTCCACAAGGATATCTCTTGGGACGTGTTGAATATAGTTAATGATTTCTGTTAATTGTTCTAAGTCAACTATTCCAGCACTCATTTTTTTTAAATTTTGTGCACTGAGAAAAACATCTATAGGGGTAAATTCATTGAATCTAGAGGATACTTGAAGAAGTCTTGAAATAATTTCAAAATTGGGTGCATCAGAAGCTAGTATATCAGATAAACTTTGCGTTACGGCATCTGGAGGTATTACCGCCAAAGCTACGTTCCCCCATCCTGAAAACTCACAACTGAAATAATTTTCGTGAAGCGTAAAATTACCTCCCACAGTCCAGGAGCTAGACGGAAGATTGGTATTCCAAAATACACATTTTACATTATAACCTAACTGATCTGCCGTAAATTTATGAAAAACGTAATATTTTGCATCCGCGTGATAAATATCATTGATCAGATATATGTCTTGTATATATTCAGACAACTCATCAGGAAATAACCCACGATTAAAAAAAATTGCCGTGTTAAACAATGTCGAAGAACTTGAAATACAACTTTCAAAATTCTCATCAAGTAACATTTCGTCCAAATTTGGGTAGTCATAACTTATTACTGTCCTTTCGTTCCCGTTGTTTAGAACATAGATATAACTTACATAAGGTTCAAATAGACTGAATGTACAGGTGTATGCCAAATTTACTTTTACATTTGCACTAAATTCATTATTCGGCATATAATAACGCACGGGAATTTTTTCCAACCAAATATCGGTGGCGTGAAACTGCACTTGCGATTCCAGTAGCACTTTGCTATCAACATTTAAAATATTATCTACTATAGTACAAATCACGTCCTCGGATATATTTCCTGAATTAATGGTACTCAAAAATTCAGATGTTAAATAGACATCAAAGGGACTAAATAACGCAGAAGCGTTCAAGACTTCATACAACTGAGGAAGAATATTAGCTTCTGTTGAACTTATCAATAATAACAACGTATCCGTAACTGAAGATTTTTCCGGAAATTCACAGCTTTCAGTAATATCTTCCCACTGTGCGTCTTCACCACACCGTCTGGTTAAGCGAAACCCGTCAACTTTAAAACAGTACTCTTTTGGATAAGTTATTTCTCCTGTGACCGTTTCTGGCCAAGTCAAACCGTTTTCCACAATTTCGGGACATCCAGCAGCCAGTAAACTAACGATTTCAAAATTCACATTATCGATAATCTCAGGGTTAAGACGAATTATACTTTCGTTGTACTTCATGTGGATAGTTTCAATAAATGCATCAGTTTTGAAAGATAGTACGTTACTGGTTACTGCATTTGCTTCAAAGGATGTAAAACCCTCGCACCAGTAGTTACCAGAACCAGTACTAAGGGGTTGGAACTGATATACTGTCTGAGTATTATTTTGAGAAATGAGAGTCAAATTTACATAGCGGTATAACAGGGTTGAAGAATCTGCATTCGTAAAGCAATAGATTGATAAATTCGGATTTATTTCGCTCGAAGAATTAATGTTTAAGACGAAGTTAAAATCGGTGTTGTAGGTTAGGGTCAAAGTTACGGTTGGAAATGCTTTTGGTAAATCTCTTTCTACAAGTGAACAAGAAAGCGGTTGTTCGCTCAAAAGCCATCCAGTCGGACTGGAAGCTACGTAAAACTTTGTGTCTACAAAAACTGCTTCTGGGGACCAGAAACTATAATCAATTTCTTGTCTTGACCTTGTCCAAACTAACGTTCCATTTGAGGATTTCTCAAGTCCGATCTCACAAGTCTCATTTGTTAAGAGTTTGTAGATGTTATTCTGATACGGCGCTAAGAATTCAGCTTTGTAATATCTTGTGTTTGCAGATGTTTCAATACATATACATTTGGATTTTGCATTTAATGTACTGGAAACACAGTTGCCAAACGCTTCACATAACGTACCTTGCTTTCGATTTTGCTTTGCGTAAGCGCATACTCCCTGATGAATTTCTAGGCACGATACAGCCACTGTGTAGGAACTGTTGTAATACACTAGACAATTTTTGTTCTTTATTCCACCCTCAAAAAAAAAAGAATCTTCAAAAACGGTCTTGTATAACCCACTGTATTCTGTCCATTGTAAGAATCCAATACCATTAGTCAAGTTTCGTTGAACTGGCATCCAGACAGGTCCCAAGTTTTCATCATCAATAACGTGCTTATAAGAATCGAACGGTAAGATGTTGCTGAATGGACAGTTTGGCGGAAAAATTGATTCCTTGCTTAATGTGTAACAAAATTCTTTCGCATTACTGAAACCTTCTGGACATTCTGGTAATGATTTGAGTTCAAAATTGTTAGTTTTGGAACAGAATTTTGTCTTATAGCATTCCTCGTTTATGTTGTTCCTTTTATTATCGATACACGAAAATTCATCGTGGTTTTTTCTGTTAATAAAATTACACATCTGTGAAATATTTAGCTTTGTTCTTATCTTGTTCATAACTTACCGGTGTTACGTGTAGCAGCATGCTTTGTTCCACAATAATGGCACATATTAACAAATATTTGGAAATCATTTCAACTACTTATGTTGCAAGAGCACAAAAAACAAATTTCTAGATAAATTTGACGACAAATTTATATACGTTGGAAATTATAAATAAACATTATTTTCAGAGATTAGATTAGATTAATCAAAATTAAGCTACTCGTTAATGCGAACGAAGATTTGAGTTGTTTCTTCAAAATGCTCATAAATCTTGAATCCAAATAATTAATTAATTTCATGTTTTTCGCACGGCTATGTCGATCTCCCGTTTTTTATTTAGACACACAATATCCGAAACTACTGGACAGATTGCTGTCGCGTTGATGGTCAAATGCTAACCAAAATTTGTTTGTTCATATCTAACAACAATCACAACAACAATTTGATGACGTCAACCTATAAGTTTTGCAATATAATATACTTTCTGTTTTTTAATCTGCTCCTGTTTTTTTAGGTTATGCAGATAGAATTTTGTGAAAAATTAAAAACTGTTTACGCTAATTAAATTTATCGTGGTTATGAAAACGTGTTAAAAAAGATTTATTTTCTTCATTGTTAAGTATGTATTTTCTATATCTTCAGTCTATAGTTTCTGCGATTGTTCAGTTTTAAAAGATACACTGACATCTAAAGAAAAAGAATAAAACATTGGTCGAAGGTTATTTTGGCTGGACTTCCCTCGTCCCTGAAATCTAATAAAACAAATCGATCTTTTTTAAAAAATTCTGAAATTTGAAGTCGCAAACCCCTGTGAGTTGATATAAAAATATGTATGTAATGTTAAAGTACATGTAAATAAAAACATGCTATGCACATGTCTCAAATGAGTCTTTTGTTACCGTGAGCGCGGTAAATTTTTAATCAAAATATATTTGTTTATCCCCTCCACAAAATCAATAATGTCATCTCAAAATTTTGCAGAATGAATCCTATCTTTTCGGATGACAAATTTGGGATGGCGAGACCCACAGAAGTATAAACAAGAGATAGTCAAGATATCATCAAAATGGAATACAAATGATGAGGCTTCCAGTCAAATTCTCAAGAAAGCGCTATTTAACTTAATAAATTAGACTGCCTTTAAATAATCTTGTTCTTGTTACTCTCTATAGAAGCTAGTTTTGATAAGATATGACTGATTTTGTCATTTTTGACTTTTTCAACTATGTTCAAAAATGTTCTAGACATTTTTTTGTAGATTTACACACCCAGATATCATTTTCATCTTCGTTTCTTTGAAAATTTCTATCGATTTTCCAAAATCGTCAACCGAAATAATAATATAGCAATTTATACGATTAGCACTAGATGGAGAAATATCGCGGTTGTAGATTAATAGGGAAAATTATGGGCGTTTTTCGCAGTCGCAGTCTTATTGGTGTATTTTGTGTTGCGTAACCGACATGCGTTGGTGCTGTTGTGTCACCAATTACTAGTGATAAGATAATTTAAAACTTAAACTTTAAAATTTACGTTATTAAGTTATCAGGTGCCAAATTTAGAATTATAATGAAGTGTTTTTTAGTAAAATGCTACAAAAAACAAAATTTATATCTTGTTTATTTTAATAGTAAAGTACCTTTTGTACTTTCGTCCTTAAGTTGACAGCTTATCAAACCATTAATTAATACACTTATATACCGTTCAGGATGTTTTTAGAGAAAGGTAGGCTATCAAAATCTAGTAATTTGGTTTGTAACCAATTTCGAATATGCAAAGATCCCTAATGGAAAATGAAATTTGATTTTCTGAAAAATTACTCAAAAAGTCTTTCACATTTTGTAGTAATTCGTGTTAGAATTCGACTCTTCTCTATTTCTCGAATCAATTGCAAAAGCAATATATGATCAACTTCAAGGATTTTATACACAGCCACCTCCAGAATTCTAACCTATATTTAAAATAGTAACACAACAAAAAACTATCATTTTTTGCTTTTTCCGACACTCATATCCTCGAAAACAAATTCCAAGAGCCCCTCATGGACACCTGCACCCTCCCATCCCCCAACCAGGACATCATCCAGCACCAAATCAGCTGCATCAACCTCAACTCCAACTTGAAACTCTCCAAAAGCTCTCTGGGCTTCGATTCCGAAAACCGACTTTTCAAATCCCAGCGCCTCCAAGCAGCCCTCGCGTTTTGCCACAAAAACGTAGAAAACTGGTACCGAGAAGTCCGAATAGCCCCTGACTTAAGGGGGTACTGACTCTTACAACGTTTTCTAATTCCGCTGTCCCAAAGAAAAAACACGTCAACCAGAGGGCGGAGTTTATGTTTACTGTTTCTTGTCCTCTCGAATATATCAATACCTCTGTTCTTTTCGCACTATTACAGGCACCCATATTAAATTTACAAAGAACGATGCTAACATCAATAGTGAGAAACGAACTGGACTGAACTGCTCATAAATCAAAGTGAAGTGACAATTTTAGCACCCCGTTTTAGGTCACATTTCCAAAGAAGATGAGGTTTTTGCCGTAACTTATTAGACAAGTACTTGTTTTCTTGTTCGAGTATCTATGTAGTCACAAAATTTCAGTACGTACGGTTGTGTAGGAAATTAGTGATGTGATATGTGGTATCTGTCAGTCAACTCATCAATTCAAGTAATAATTTTATACACCTTTGGATTTATAATAAGGCACACTAGGCACTGGCCTAGGGCATCAAAGCTGGAGGGGCCCCAAAGCCTTTAGAAATGTATATTTAAAATAAAAAATTGCAACATTTTATTATCTTAGTACTCATTGCCAAATTTTTAATTGTTCGGGTAATTCTTTGTGGTAGGTCACCGCTGCCGACACAGGAAATCACATGTGCAAAGGCGGCCAGTTTGCGAGCAAATCAGTACGGAATACTGAACCTTATAGAACCCGTCTCCTTATTCTAACAAACGTTGGTTTGCCGTACAAACCGTGTGCAAAGTAGTTTCCGAAATTCCTGAGAATTTAAATAGGAGATCTAAACAGGTCATTTAAGAAACAATATATTTCAGCATCGTACAGTAGCAGATTTAGTAGCTTTCGGCGCTTCGCAATTTGTGCAATAGCATTACAATTTGATTTTTATTTTAGTACCTTTGTACTGTAAATGTTATTGTTGTCAGTCATATTTAGAAAAGCTAAGTTTTCAGTTCTTGTAATTTTCATAAAAGTGAACCCCATTACATTTTTTATTGAAGAATTTTTTATGTTTAAAATAAAATTAAAATTCGTAAATTATTAATAAATTTAAAAAGGCCCTTTGACATTGCCACAAATTAAAAAAAAATGTCAAATTGCTGTTAATTTTTTTGAGAAAAAAAATCACACGATTGCGGAACCTACAGCTACTTACCGACCGGTAACTGTAGGAAAAATCTTTCTTTTTTTTTATTGTACTGGTGCGGTTGCAGTGAGGAGTAGGAAGGTCACTGTGACCCCGTCCAGGTTTTATTAGTAAAAAAAAGTAGTTTATTTCCAACAGGAAATATAAAAATTGGAACAATTAATTTTAAAGTGGCTGGTTAAAAATAAAAATAAAAATATATAAAAATTGGAGCTAAACTAGTACACTTAGTATATGAACAAATTATAACATATTACCAATGCAAATTTATGAGTCTTTTTGTAAAAAAAAAAAAACTGAGTGTGGTCAATTATTTAATTAGAAAATCTATGTCGTCTTCTGGGGTTCTCTTTTCCTCAAATCACGAATTGGCAGATTTTTGGGATGTTGAGGATAGAGTAGCTCAGGCAATAAACAATTGTAGTAAAATTGTTCAAGACGGTATTCCATTTTTTGTGACCAAAATACGTCGTCTCTGGAAATCTGTAAATGAAAGGTAAACATATTTTTTTGTTTTGATTATACTGATAGCCACTAGGTTCTATATATGATCGTAGCATAATATTTACCCTTTCAACTTCTATACCGAGAGGTGTCCATATTACAAAATGGCAAATGTCACGCCTCGTAATATGCAATTGGCCCTGAATCTGAAAATAGTAATCGGAAGATTTTTTTAGTTGTATTTTCCCATTATTTGAAGTGCAATATGCAAGCTTTTTTTGTAAAATTGCATCTATTGGTGTCATCTGAGCCGCAGAGTAGGGGCATTTAATCTCTATGATGGCGTTATTGCCTATTAATCCATCTGGAGATGCGGCCAAAAATCCAAAATTAGCGTCTATAAACAACCCGCAAGGTTCAACAGTTACATCGTTCGCAATTTGAAACGCTTCTACGGCCATAGGCTCATGTGTTTTGCCCCAGTCTGTAGCGGTAGATCCCGAAAAGGTACTATACAACAGACTTTTCACGGTCGCTTGGCATGAAGTTGAATGCCTCATTTTACAAATTTTTCCAAAAACAGATGCTGTTAATCGCTTATATCTTTCTTCCACCCAAGTTCGATTGTTACTTTGACCAATAGTCTTCTGTTGCAACTCATTTATTTCCAGTGGTGTTTTTTGAAGAGCATCAAGAAAGGCCTTTTTTTCAATCTCATAGCTGTCTGGCAATATATTCGAAATGGCGGCAGCGTCAGGTCCATAATCAGCATCAGTTTCTGCGGGAAGTTTGATTTTCTTTTTATATTTTTCGGGAAAAAGTTGTCTTCTTGTGAGTTTGTTTTCATGAATTCTCTTCTTTTGAGCCATGTAAGATTTTACGAATTTACCAGGACTTCGCTTCGTTATGGATTTGTAGATCAAATGGGGATATTTGTAATGTCCTGTATTGAAACTGATTCCTGCCGCTTGACACCTTAATTGAAAAGAATCACGACCCGCCAAGTTAATTCTTTTTCCGCCTATAAATTTAGCAACTACAGAATTGTAACACTCTGCAGAGTTATTGTCCATATCTAGCAACAAACTATCTGCATGTTGAACAATTCTGTTTAGGACTATTCTAATGTCTTGCAATAAACCCGTGCGTGTCATGTCCGGAATGTAATTATTTGCACTGTCTTTGTCTGTAAATAACATAATTATTAAACAACAAAAATATCATTTGATTACTCCTGTATGTTTACCTTTACAAAAATATGTAGCACATTTAGAATGATCGCCAAATATGTGGTATATTGAATTAAGAATATCGGTGCGCAGACTGGCTACCTTTTCTTCATGACTACCACTTTCAGAACAGCGATATTTCACAGCGCTTTGAATGGCTGATCGAAATCTTCAGATGTTATTTTTTAATAAAAGACGCTGATCTGGAGTCACTATCTGCCTCGTAGAACTAACTCGTCTAGTAGTCAACTCTTTGAGGTGATTGCAGAAATTACGCAATAGATGATTTCTACACTCAATTTTACGCCGTACGCTTAGCCGCGGATTTTTTTTCAAATTTCGGTCACCTCTCGCCATGCTGTCTGTACCTACTACACTGCAGTTGCACGTTTTCTGGTCTGCAATCTGCATCGACCATAATAATTTCCAGATGTTTTTCTTGGGTTTTTTCAGTTTAGGGAAACATTTGACCAGTCAAGTTATACACACAACAAAAGGCAGCTAAGAGCTGCCGACACTATTGGGGAGATGCAGTGGTTCTGTTTCAAATAACTCCCTCTACACGCCAACCCGTTGGCAGCAACTCGAGCTGCTGATACCAAATCGTATTGTGCAGATGTCTAGAATTTTGCAAAATACAAGCGCATTGTTAACTTTTTACAAATTTTTATTAACCAGAACTGCAATTCATGAATGACACTACACGGCCAGCTATACTTATATTTAATCGCTGAATGCTGTTTATCTATATTTACGTTGAAACATTACAATAAAAACGCTTATTTTATACCGACTTATTTCAACTGATTTTTAGAATTATAAGCATTCATGAAGCTAGCCGTGTAGATAAATCCTTTCTACAGGTACAATCCAAATTTTGTTAAATTCCAATGAAAATTCGACTCGCTGTTTGCAAAATTCTAGACCCATGTAAGTATGCTTTTACGAAGTGAGTCAGTACCCCCTTAAAACACGACACGTTTTGCCCCGAGTGCCGGCAACCCCAGTGCGAATGCAAGCAATACGAAGACAAGCAGATCATCACAAAAGAAGCCATGGAGAAGTTCCCTAAACCGAAAAAGTGGTACAAGTACTTCAAAATCTTGGGAAAGAACGAAGAAGGACCGCAGTTCACCGACATAAGAGATCCTTTAGACGGAATGGAGAAAGGAAAGAGCATAGAGAGGTATAAAGACATGTCCAAGCTAATTGAAGAGAAATTTGGAAGGAAGAGCTACAACCCTGTGAAGAAATCCGCGAGTTTTATGTTCTCGACGAAGAGGATCGACTTGGAGGAGACGTCCCACGGTGGGAAAAACAACCCGGCGTTGTTGAAGTGTCAGAGTTTGGACACGCAGCTGTATTCTATTTCGGAAAGCCAGAAGAACCACCCGGAGCGCGGGTCCATGCGAAGCTACGACTTCCAGATGTGTATTCTGGATGAAGATGCGAAGGAAGAGTTGAAGTTGGACGAGATCAAGCCGGTTGTTGAAGTCAAGTTGAAGAAGACTAAGCCGGATCTGATTCCGACGCTGCCGAAACAGGACCATGACCATTCGTATATAACTGAGAGGCTCTGCACGGAGTTCCACGTTAAAACCAAAGTACAAAAAGCTAAATGTGGGAAAATGGTGGACGGGAGATATAAGAACGATCTTCCGAAGACCAGGTCTGTGGTGGTGCAGATTCATGAGGTGAAGTCCAGTGAAGGGTTTGTTAATGTCGATGATATTCCGTATAGTCAAGTGGCTGATGAGGTGTGTCAGCGGAAGAATGAAGGGGGCGGGGCGAAGTGTCAAGATGAGAATATCGATGCCGAGATTTGTGAGAGTTCTTCGGGTTGTCCGAATTGTGATAATAGTAAATTGTGTGAGTGTAAGAGGACTAAGACGGAGTATTGTTATGTTAAGTTAGGGTCGAATGGTGATAGTGTGACGCAGTCGGATTCGGATGAAGCTATATATAACACGTTGAGATGAGGATGCGCTTAACTCTAATTTAATTATTTTTTTATTAATATTATGAGTAATACTGTTTCCTACCAATAAAATATTTAATATTTTATCCGAGTTTTATTGTCTGAAGAATCTTACAAGATACAGTTAAAAACTGAAAAACTTACAATGTCAAGACTACTTGGAAACATTGGAAATTTTATAAATCTAAAATTTATTTCTTTTCACCACAGATGTCGTTGAATGGTAAAAATAAGATGTCCGAGCATTTTGATTAACGGAAAACAATATAAAAGCTAAATATTCTGTCCTTCAACTTATACTTATATAAGGCGGCAACTTACGACATTATCTCTAGAGGTACTTCAAAATAATATTTGTTCATTTTTGTATCATTAAACAATCTTATTTTCAATCTAAAACGTAAAAAATGCCAATCATTATTGTTTTCGTTATCTATCTTTTTCATCGGCCTATCTGATTTTGTATTATTAAAATACAACTAATAACCTGACTAACGAAATCTTATCTTGTCACGCATTTGCAACCGCTTATTTTCATCTTCATTTTTAATCGTTTTGGTGGTTTTGACTCATTTCTGAATAATTTAAATATGTCCTAGTTGCGTCAGAATTCGGAAAAGAGATAATTTGGAATAGATTGGATGTCCAAAATTCAAACTTTGCTCCCGGTCCATTCTGGTTCTCCTGATATAATATCAAAAATTAAATGCGTCGTGAAGTACTATGGCACCAAGAACATTTGCGATAAATCAATTAAAAACATTTTAAACTTTGTAATTCGTATTGCAATAATCTGATTAAGCAAACAACTTCCATTTTTATAATTATCAGCAGGTGTTTTTTTTGTAAAGTGCTAAAATTTCAAAATTTATATCTTGTTTATTTGAATAGTTAAGTACCACTTCTATAGCACATTTTAGAAAACAGGTCTTGCAACGGTGTTGTTCATTATTAAAGACGTATCGTTTTTCTGAAAATTTTCTCATAAGTTCTTTTTTTCACGTATATAATTTAATCGCCACCAGTGCTAGGACAATTGTTCTGTAAAATTCACACTTGCGGTCTTTGGTTTTGCTTATATATCTTTTTTTTAAGTTTTTTGCTTTTACAGCAATCTGAAAATCGTCGGAATTTGACTCCTGCGCAGTCGCATATTAACTCTTGATGCTTCCATAAATTGTACTCCCAGTTTAAAGTCGTTTTTATGACAAGAAAATAAACATTATCACCTCGTTTGTACCCCACCACAGACAATATGAGTTCAATAACAAAGTACGGCCCTTCAAGGAACCGACCAGTTTCTTATTTATGGCTAGGGATTTACTTTATTGTCTCCATCATCAATTTCGACACAATGGACCTATCATAAAAACCTCTTTAAACTTGGAAGACAATACATATGTAAATCAAAATGTGGTGTGGTTATTAATTTATTATTAATTAAACTTTAATTCAATAGACCTAGATCAATAAAGGATTAACTTACGACTGACATATCTAACATACATAAACTACTCTACCAGGAAAAATGTGAAGAACACACAGTTATGGCAAAATATATAGTATGTGGTATATGTAGGTTATTAGTATTTCCATTAGAAAATATCAAAAAATTGAGATTCACTAGATTTGGTAGCAATAAATCAAACTAGCTAATTATAACAACTTTTATTTTCATCGGTACAATAAAGATCAGTTTCTAAATACTTAATAATAAATAATAATAATAATAAAAATGTTAACATAGAAAAAAAAAGCAATAAACTTAATTATATTATGACAATATTAGTATTATTATTATAGAGCGGAAAATAAATATGCAGCAAAATTTTGAGAAATATGATCATATGATAGGCACCAAATTTATGCAAATATGCAGTAACTTTCTTAATATATGCAGAGATATGCAGTTGCATATGCTTCAAAAATTAAAAAAAAAGCTTAATAAGCGAACTAAATTTATTTATAAATTACAAAAACAAGTTTCCCGAGCTTACGTTTTATTACAAAAAAAAAACATAAATCACATTGCAAAGTGTTTAATTACATCTCACTAACACATGAATCACGTTTTTAAAGATAATATTCTTATACTAAAAAATAAATATAAACAGAACAAATTAAAAAATAGTAGTAATCCACTATTTAATTACTATTTTGGTAACAATTTATTTTTAAAAATGTTTCTAAATATTCTAACAAAAAGTTTTTCCGGTGATTCTAAAGTAGGTATAGGTATTTTTATATAGAAAAACTGCGTACTACGTCCACAGAATAAGTTCAGGAAAAGTTTAATCCATAAATTAATTCGAGTTATCTTCGGCATATCGATACACCTGTGTCCCTTTAAATGCTTTCAATACCAACTCACGATGAAAAATAATAGTATAACGTTCCTTCGACCACCACTAAACATACCATTAATACACTTAACGAACAAAAATATTGGGAACGAACGGTATTTCCAAAAGTAATTAAGGCGCGAATTTACCTGGAAGGATGGCTTAACACCCAGTGGTGTCTCCAAACTACCATAAAACCCAAACCTTTCCTAGTTATTTGAAGCCTCAAGACAATATTTGCAATATGATTCATAAAATTTCGTCTTTCTAGATAAATGCCGATAGAATTTAGCACAAAAATTGATAAAAATGCAAAATATGCACCCATTCCGTGAAATATGCAGCAGAAGGCCAATATATGCAAATATGCAATTTTTTTTTATAGCTGTATTCAGTTTTAATTAGCATGATTCGTTCATATATTAAATATCAAGACTTATATGCAAAAAATAACGGATATGCAAATTTCATAAAATCCGCTCTCTAATTATTATTAACTAAGTGAGTACTCATTTACTATTAAAGGTGGTCAAAATCAGTGCAATTGTTTATTAGTTTTTTTTTGGTTCTTATTTTTAAGAAGTATTAGGTCTCTACCGACGTAGATAAAGAATAAAATGACACCTTGCGAAGTTGCTAGGAAGTCAAATAAAAAAACGAAAACCACACTAACAGAAATTTCTGCTATAAAACCAAAAATCCAGGTAAGTCCAAGCAAAAAGAATAGAAATGCAGTGCGTTGAACTCGACGATCTTGGCGAATTGCATTGTAAACAAAACAACAAGTTACCAAATTAAACACCAGAATAGTAGAAATAGGCCACCACACCCCAACATAAAGGGCAGAATCGGTTGGATAACAGATTCCCGACTTACTTTTCACGTAAGAATCACTGTCTAACCCTAACACGATTAAAACAATAAGCAAAGGAAGACTAACCACAAACATGGTTGATTTTTTAATAACATGTTCGAAGTCGTACTCTTTACCGAGAACGCTGACTCTGAACTGGAAAAGTGCCATCAGGAACGTCCAACAAAACTGAACCAAAACAGAATAGTGAACAACAACCCCTGAAATCACACAAAGGGCGTAGATTTTTAAATATTCGTCAATATTGTCAGAAATCAAAAATACTACAATCTGAAATATACCGGAAACGGTAAAAAACAGCAAAATCTTAGTCTTGATGTCTTTCCACCAGGTTTTAGACAATACGGCTTTTAGAATTATGCCGGAGAAACCGATTAAAGATAACACGCAGTTGATGTTCGTAATCCACTGAAGAATAATCTGTTCAGTTTCGGTGTACCTGCCTTCATCTGCCCCTAGTAAAAGGGAACCAAAGTGTGTGGCGTGCCAAAAATCGCACTGTACCAAAGTGGAGAGTGTTTTGGTTGCGTTGTCTCTCTTCCAGAAACCTGGAATACTGTGGGGTACGTCGTACTTCCAGTACACACACGCATTTTCGTATTTCATTTGGGAATCTATTTTGTGAAACGTCGATATGGGGCCGGAAAAATTTCCTTCGAATTCGTGGAGAATAACGTCGAAGATGATACTCGCTGTTTCGTTTATTATAGTTGTATTTTCGTTGAATAAGACATCGTTCAAATATATGTTTATTATAAATGTTGAGTTTTGGCAAATTTGAGCTTTCAATTCTGGACTTAAAATTAGTGCACTAGTTAAATTTTCGTATGTCAAGTAGTTAGATACATCAAGAGAATCGTTTAAAACCAAGTATGTGTTATTATCGAAAAGTATCAGACCATTGAAATTGTTGCAATTAAGAATCAGGGGTAGAAAATTGTCTAGGACGCTTGAAAAATCGCTTGTGTATACTTGCTTTTCTACTAACACATCGGTGTAGTATAAGAGCGAGTCAGTTGCCATATAAAGTTTCTGACTTTCCACAAGGATATCTCTTGGAACGTGTTGAATATTGTTAATAATTTGTGTTAAGTGTTCTAAGTTAACTGTTTCAGCACTTACTCTTTTTAAAATTTCCGCACTGAGAAAAACATCTATAGGAGCAAACTCATTGAATCTAGAGGATACTTGAACAAGTCTTGAAATAATTTCAAAACTCGGTGCATCAGAAGCTAGTATATCGGATAAACTTTGCATTACGGCATCTGGAGGTATTACTGCCAAAGCTACGTTCCCCGTTCGTGAAAATTCACAACTGAAATAATATTCGTGAAGCGTAAAATAACCTCCTACAGCCCAGGAGCTAGACGAAAGATTGGTATTCCAAAATACACATTTTACATTATAAGCTAACTGGTCTGGCGTAAATTTATAATAAATGTTATAATTCGGAAGCTGGAAACCGGGATCATAGACTAGATATATGTCTTGTATATATTTAGACAGCTCATCAGGAAATAATCCACTATTAAAAAAGATTGCCATATATCTTGAATCCATGGTTGCCGTAGAAAAGAATGAAATACAACTTTCCAAATTCTCTTTAGATAATATTTCGGTCACATTGTAGCCATCACTGTATGATACTGTCCGTTCGTCGCCGGTGTTTAGAACATATACAAAATGTCTAACAAAAACATCGTAACAGTGATATGCAAAATTTGTTTTTACTAGTACGCTAGGGTCAAAACACCAAAACTTATATTCGGGAATTTTTCCTAACCAAACATCGGTGGCATGAAACTGCACTTGCGATTCCAGTAACACTTTGCTATCAACATTTAAAATATTATCTACTATAGTACAAAGCGCGTCCTTGGATATATTTCCTGAGTTAATGGTACTCAAAAATTCAGATGTTAAATACACATCAAAAGGACTAAATAACGCAGAAGCGTTCAAGACTTCATACAACTGAGGGAGAATATTGGCTTCTGTTGAACTTATCAATGATAACAACGCATCCGTAACTGAAGATTTTTCTGGAAATTCACAGCTTTCTGTAACATCTTCCCACTGTGCGTCTTCACCACACCTTCTGGTTAAACGACCCCCGTCAACTTTAAAACAGTACTCTTTTGGATTAGTTATTTCTCCTATGACCGTTTCTGGCCAAGTCAAACCGTTTTCCATAATTTCGGGACATCCAGCAGCCAGTAAACTAAAGATTTCAAAATTTACAGGGTTCATTTCAAAAGGCAAGTGAGTCGTTGTAGAATTTGCTCTTGAACACTCGAAACCAACATTTATCGATACATGTCTTTTGTCTTCGTCCAACCCATTTATTTTTATCAGACGGTAAGGGCAGTAACTATTTACCAAATGTTCTTTTAAGAGGTCGATAATCTCAGGGTTAAGAGGAATTATACTTTCGTTATACTTCATGTGGATAGTTTCAATAAATGCATCAGTTTTGAAAGATAGTACGTTACTGGTTACTGCATTTGCTTCAAAGGATGTGAAACCTTCGCACCAGTAGTTACCAGAACCAGTACTGAGCGGTTGAAATTGATATACCGTCTGAGTATTATTTTGAAAAATGAGAGTCAAATTTACATAGCGGTATAACAGGGTTGAAGAATTTGCATCCGTAAAGCAATAGATTGATAAATTCGGATTTATTTCGTTCGAAGAATAAATGTTTAAGACGAAGTTAAAATCGGTGTTGTAGGTTAGAGTTAAAGTTACGGTTGGAAATACTTCTGGTAAATCTCTTTCTACAAGTGAACACGAAAGCGGTTGTTCGCTCAAAAGCCATCCAGTGGGACTGGAAACTACGTAAAACTTTGTGTCTACAAAAACTGCTTCTGGGGACCAGAAACTATAATCTATTTCTTGTCTTGACCTGGTCCAAACTAACGTTCCATTTGAGGATTTCTCAAGCCCGATCTCACAAGTCTCATTTGTTAAGAGTTTGTAGATGTTATTCTGATACGGTGATAAAAATTCAGCTTTGTGATATGTCGTATTAGGAGATGTTTCAAGACATATACATTTGGACTTTGCATTTAATGTACTGGAAACACAGTTGCCAAACGCTTCACATAACGTACCTTGCTTTCGATTTTGCTTTGCGTAAGCGCATACTCCCTGATGAATTTCTAGGCACGATACAGCCACTATGTAGGAACTGTTGTAATAGACTAGACAATTTTTGTTCTTTATTCCACCCTCAAAAAAAAAATAATCTTCAAAAACGGTCTTGTATAACCCACTGTATTCTGTCCATTGTAAGAATCCAATACCATTGGTCAAGTTTCGTTGGACTGGCATCCAGACAGGTCCCAAGCTTTCTTCATCAATGACGTGCTTATAAGAATCGAACGGTAAGGTGTTGCTGAATGGACAGTTTGGCGGAAAAATTGATGCTTTGCTTAATGTGTAACAAAATTCTTTAGCATTACTGAAACCTTCTGGACATTCTGGTAATGATTTGAGTTCAAAATTGTTAGTTTTGGAACAGAATTTGGTCTTAAAGCATTCCTCGGTTATGTTGTTCCTTTTATTATCGATACACGAAAATTCATCTTGGTTTGTTCTGTTAATAAAATTACACATCTGTGAAATTTTTAGTTTTGTTCTTATCTTGTTCATAACTTACCGGTGGTACATGTAGCAACATGCTTTGTTCCACAATAATGGCACATATTAACAAATATTTGGAAATCATTTCAACTACTTATGTTGCAAGAGAACAAAAAACAAATTTCTAGATAAATTTGACGACAAATTTATATATGTTGGAAATTATAAATAAACATTATTTTCAGAGATTAGATTAGATTAATCAAAATCAAGCTACTCGTTAATGCGAACGAAGATTTGAGTTGTTTCTTCAAAATGCTCATAAATCTTGAATCCAAAGAATTCCCACGGCAATGTCGATCTCAAGTTTTTTATTTAGACACACAATATCCGAAACTACTGGACAGATTGCTGTCGCGTTGATGGTAAATGCTAACCAAAATTTGTTTTATTCATATCTATCAACAATCACAACAACAATTTGATGACGTCAACCCAAAAGTTTTGTAATATACTCTACTTTCGGTTTTATAATCAGCTCCTATTTTTTTAGGTTATGCAGCCAGAATTTTGTGATAAATAAAAAACTGTTTACGCTAATTAAAATTTATCGTGGTTGTGAAAACGTGTTAAAAACGGTTTATTTTCTTTATTGTTAGGTATGTATTTTCGGTATCCAAAGTCTATAGTTTCTGCGATTGTTACAGTTTTGAAAGATACACTGACATCTAAAGAAAAAGAATAAAACATTGGTCGAAAGTTATTTACTTCCCTCGTCTCTGAAATCTAATAAAACATAGCAAACTTTTTTGAAAAATTCTAAAATTTGTCTTCCCAAATTTTACGTTTTTATGAAATCCCCTGTAAGTTTATATAAAAATATGTATGTAATGTTTAGGTAAATGTAAAGAAACCTGCTACGCGCGTTTTTTAAATGAGTCTTTTTTTAGCGTGAGTTTGGTAAATTTTTAATCAAAATATATTTGTTTATCTCCTCCACAACATCGAAGACGTCATCTCAAAATTTTGCCAAATGAATCCTATCTAAAATGTGCAAAATATGATGAGTTTATTACTGTGATATGTAGATCATTGGATGACTCAAAAAAATTAATGAATGAATCAGTTTATTTTATTGATTAGATCCGGAACGGCGCTCCATTTTCTCGAAATTTTAGAAATGCAATACTGTTATTATTAGCATTAGGCTGCAGCTATCTTAATTGATATACGTGTCCTTGTTAAAATGTTGATGACGTCATCAATAATTTACTATTTATAGAAAAACTCATAAGAAAGATATGTATACTATGCTTCTTTACCGTGCTATAACAATACGCACATATGTTAATTTTAGCACACAGGGATCACCATAAAAAAATAAAATTCTCAAAGTTAAATTAGATAGATTATTATGGAAGCTGTATTTGTTCGGTTCGAACAATTGACGGAAGCTGAAGACCTATTTTTTCATACTTTAGAGGCCATGAAACGTCTACAAAACTCGAAAGTATATAAAACCAAATAGGTATGACTGAATTTTGAGGCGTAGTTAAAAAGTTTTCAACTTTAACCAACATAATTGTTGTTGTAAGTACTATTAAGATTATATTATTTAAAGATTTTAAAGATAGCGTTGGAGTGGCTATTTATCTCTTCTCCAGTGTAACATTTATTTCTAGATACATTGTGGAGGTTATCTTACCAGTATAAATCATTTTCAGTTATAATGAGCTACTTTTTTTGGACTGTTGTAATTGTTTCTTAAAAATTGTGAAGCATGTTCAAATATATGTTAATGTGTTGCTTCTTGTTCAACGAAATATTAGTGCGAGGGACATCGGTAAGGTTACTAGCTTTTGAAACTTCAACAACCTCCGTAGGTTTCTGATTTTGTTCACAGTACAAGGTTGACCACTTCTGACACGAAAGCATGTTCAAGTTTTTGGGACACAGTAGAGGAAAAATCAAAGTTTTCTGCAACCTATCCCAAGAATTTTAAACACTTTCTGTTATCGTGCGAAGGCAATGTTTTAAAGAAAAATGCTGAATATGTGGCTATATTAAAACCAGGTAGTGTGACTTACCGCTGTTTTTATAAAATAATTTTGTTGTCTTTTAAGGTGAATATAATCTTTTCCACGACAAGATTTCGACATATAACGAACTACTTCAACGTAAAAATGTAAGTTGTGGTTGGGAGTACATTGTACCAAGTGATCTAATTGAGTGTGTTCATCCGAGAGGAGATATTTTAAGTTCTGACCAAAACAGTATCTGCAATACAACATGCGTGAATTTTCAAAAGTCGTGTCCTGACTTGACTTCTGAAGACATGCTAAACGCTACTCACTACCTTTCAAAAATTAGTTTTGAAGACGTCACTTCCTGTTTACTGTTTATTCCTGAGGGTCATGAATCAACAAAAGAACTGATTCGATGCACAGTTACAGACAAGGGAATAGAGTCAGTTTTTCCCCATTTAAATTTCAGAAGCGAAAACAACAATTTTGCTAATTTACAATTGTGTCAGGGTGGTAACGATTCCTGTCCACTCAATTGTGATTGTAGTTTAACCTGGCTAGAGACTTCATCAGATGAACCTGTTTACTCAAAGGAGTATTGTTTTAAACAAGATGGTACTCGCTTAAGTAGAACTTGCGATAAAGAAAGTACTGGAGAAGCAGCTTGGTCAAACATTGAATCTTGTGACTGTGAAATACCAAAATGTTCCACCATAACGTATTCATTACTAGATTTACTCGACGAAGCATCTAATCCTACGGCACTGAAAACGATCGTTTCTGAATTATTGAAAATATCAAAAAACTACAACGATTTCAATCCATTTGATATTTATTTACTTGTAGACTTGATTTCTAAACTTTGGGAAGTAGACACGAGTAATTGTACTGACATTATTAACAACGTTTTAAATGTAAATAACAACGTGTTGATGGAATCACAATCAAAAATGCGTGCAATAGATAACTGGTTAGACTTTCTGTTATCTCGACATTCAAGAGACTGCAATCTAGAAGAAGAAAAGACAAATGTTGCTATAATAGAAGCTGTACGTGGAATAATTGTTGAAAAAAATGAAAAAGAATCAAAAATAAGCCAAGTGAACGAGTCATTTACTCTTGAGGATGTGCTAAAACAAAAAGATTTGGAAAGCGCTGTTTGGTTAAATTCGGACAGTAAGGAATGTTCCCGCTTTATTTATTATTCTAAAGATATTTTTTTTTCTGATCAGTCAGCATCAGACAATATAATATTTGGCGTAAAACTAACAAACGAGAGTGAAGCTAATGGGACGGTGTGGCTTATTTACAGATCTAATAATGAGACATACAACAAAAATGTGCAGTGCGCATCTTGGGAAATGGACGAATCTACCCGAGGACGGTGGAGTGTCAGTGGTGAATTTCAAATATCGGAGTTTAACTTTATTTGCAAGTTTCGCGGATCTGGAAATTTTGCCATCATGTTAGAACAGAAAAAAGAGTTACTCTGTGCTTTAAGTGATATCCTTACAGTTGATCATGATCCTGAAATGCTGTCACGAGTTTTACAGTTGTCTTCTAGACAACAAGAATTTGCACCTGTAAATGTTCAGCAAACAAATATGATTTTCAGAAAAGTCAGCAATTTGAGTGCGAGTGATGCTGATTTAGAAAATGTGAATGGAATAATTAATAATTTCCACAAAATTGAGAAAAATGTATTACAAGAAAGTCAGTTCAACGGTAGCGCAACAAGTAATCTATTATATTATATTAGTGATATTTTTCGTAGTTATAAACTTGAAACTGACAATCTTACCATCAACTCTGGAAATTTTTTCACTTCCTTTCTTAAATTAAGCGACGACTTCAGTGGTTTCGTACAGTTTAACAATAAATCAGTATCCACACTAACAAACATCGTAAATGCAACAGAATTACTTAAATATGAAAATTTACACAGTGCGCTATTATTGTCTCCTGAACTAAAAAAACAGTTAAAGATAAACGAAACTGTTAGAATTAATGTATTTCTCAATAACGACTTATTCATTGAGCAGGCACGTACTTCTTATACACTTGTTAACAACATTTACGGCATAATTCTTCCTACAGTTAATAACTACAACACCAGCCTTGTTTCAACTTTTTATAAACTAGATTCCACGAAGTATCACCACGATTGTTTATATTGGTCTCAAAATAATTTGGAAAGCGTATTAGTCTGGAGAAGGAACACCACGACGACTGTCTCTTCTTTGCTTCGGTGCGATTTCGCGTACACCTCAAATTACTCTGTTGCAAATCATTTTACAGCATATTTTGGTTTTTATGAGGACAGAACTATCGGATTAGACTGGATTGTTAATATCATCGGTTCATTGTCTTTAGTAGCATTTCTTTGTTTATTCATACCTGCAACAAAACTTAAAAACTGGCCATCACAAATAAACAATGACGCATTTATTCTTTTTAATTGTCTTGGTATATTGCAATTTGTTATGCTGAACGTGTCTGCTAATATCAAAATTTATGTAGCAGCATATGCCCTTTGTGTTTTTTCCGGCGCCATTTTGCACTGTTGCGTGTTAATTCAGTTCTTTTGGATTTTAATAAATTTGTTTTTGTATTATAATAGAGCTGCAGGTATCACTGACATTCCCGAAAAGTTTGAAAAGAGGGCAATTTTTTTCATTTTGATTGTCCCTATAATCATAGTTGCAGGCACTTTGGGTGCGAATGGTGACAATTATATTAACAACAGAGCTGGTATTTGTTTCCCCGAAGGTAATATTGAATACTACACTTTATGGTGGCCCCTTTCACTATTGCTGATTTTTATTTTAACAATTAGTTTCTGTATTAAAGTAGAACTTGACCAAAAACGGAATAAATTAACACTAGAAAATCAGAAGCATGACGGTGCTGATAACGAGATTTCACTGACACCAGTTGAATTAGAACAATTGCAAAATGAAGTAAATACCTATAAATATTTTATGATAAGGATAGAAATATTATTTATTGTATTAGGTTTGACTTGGGTCTTTGGGCTTTTAGTAAAACTCCAGAATGATGTAATTTTTGTATACTTTTTCGTTGTTTTGTTAGCTTTGCAGGGTATAATTTTGTTTTTATTATATATAGTGTGTTATCAAGAGGCCCGAGACGCTACTCGTGTATGTATAATTTCGTTGTGGCAAAGTCTAGGATTTGGCAAATCAAAATAATAATTTTAAGGTAAAATTAGTTTGTTGTATAGAATTCGATTAAGAAAGTTTTCCATTTTTGTAACACTATGTAATAAAAAATTGTATGTATGTATGGATATAAATAAACCACTTTGTTAAGATTATTTAGAGTATTTGATTGCCAATATGATACAAAATATTTATCGAGACTAACCTTGCACCAAATCTGATTAAAATTGCTTTAGTGTTTACAAAGATATTAAATGAAAAAAACACTTTGTACTCCACGCTTATCCAACGAAAAAAATTCCTAGTTCCACAAATGAGGTCCCTCTGTATTCTGTAGGTATATATGTGTAAGGATATGGATTAAGTATCCTCACTCTCATTGAATCTAACGCGCAATTAGGTCGGTTAGATCTCTGAATGCGATGATTTTGAAATTACCTCACTTTACATATTGTTACGATTGACGGACGAATAATAAATCGGGTGTTGGTAAAACTCAAAAAATTTATTTCTTCAGGTCGAATTACAACACTATCTATTGCGACGAATATGTACAGAAATTATTCCGGCGCTCTCGACTGTCTTCACTGGATGAATGCCTCCATTACCTACGGTCGCCTCTATTTAAACCCATAGTCTCTGATCGAGATCCTTCACGAACATCCATCGCGACTCCGCTTCGAGACTCCCCTGGACGCCGCTTCGAGACGCTCCAGACCTGTCTTTATGCGCCCGCCTCTCGGCCGTCGACAACAGCGATGATTCACCCACGTACGTCCAGAAGGCTCTCGACCGCCATAGGCGTCGTACTGGGGCGGCGTAAGGGTGTATTTCGTAACACTGCCCCCCTCTTCAAATCCGATCGTCCCGATCGGAAGCGTCTTCGTTGTTTCCTTCGTACCGTTTTAGTCGATCGAGATGAACGATCTTCATCTTCGTCTTTGGTCCACGTTGGATCCGATAAACTACGTCATTTATTCTAGTGACGATAGTGTATGGACCTTCCCAGTCAGGAGCCAGTTTTGGGCAACGTCCCTTCTTCCGTCGGGGGTTATACAGCCACACTAAGTCATCTTCCTGGAATCCGCCACAGTTGGCCTTCACATCATAACGGGTCTTCATTCGGTCACTGGCAATCTTGATCCGGCCCCTCACTAGTTCATGCACGTTGACCAACTTCTCTTTCAGTTCGTCCACGTAGTCACGTACTTCCATTGGTTCTTCGGATGGCAATCCAAAGACTAGGTCACAGGGCAGCCGCAGTTCCTTCCCAAATACAACGTGAGCAGGTGTTTGGCCCGTGGTGTCGTGGATAGCTGCGCGGTAGGCCAGCAGGAATAGTGGAAGGTGCTGGTCCCAATCCCTTTGGTGCTCTTCTACCACTTTCGAAAGGTGTTGCTCCATAGTCCGATTGAACCTTTCCACCATGCCGTCGGACTGTGGATGTAGTGGCGTTGTCCTTGTCTTACGTATTCCCAGTAGCTGCATCACTCTTTGGAAGACGTTGGATTCGAAATTGCGTCCCTGGTCTGAGTGAAGTTCCAAGGGGACGCCAAACCTACTGATCCAATTGTCAACCAGTACTTTCGCGACCGTGACGGCTTCCTGATTTGGAATGGCATAGGCATCTGGCCACTTGCTGAAGTAGTCGCTAGCCACCAGGATAAACTTGTTGCCGTCGTTTGTTACAGGGAACGGACCGGCCACATCGATGGCGATTCTTTCGAAAGGTGCCCCAACATTATATTTCTTCATCTTTCCCCTCGCCCTGGTATGAGGACCTTGGCTGGCCGCACACGTCGTACACTTGCGACACCAACTTTCGACATCGTCACGATGACCTACCCAATAAAACCTCTCCCGGATTTTCGACAAAGTTTTGTTCACTCCGAAGTGGGCTCCAGATGTTCCGGCATGAACTTCCTCTAAGACCTTGGAAACCTTTACCTTGGGGAGGACCAGCATCGTCTTAGAGGTACGCCCATCAGGACTCTCCCACTTTCGCTTCGAGAGCCCATTTTCCATGACCAAGGAATCCCATTGGGCCCATAATGCTTTTAAACTGGGGGATTGGTCGGACAATTCTGCCCAGCCGGGTCGTTCGACTCCTTCCTCCTTCCACTTTAGTATTGGTCCGATTATGTCGTCTGCTTCTTGCTCACGCTTTAACCGCGCCGTTGTCCATTCTTCATCTTGCTCAAAAATCGTCCGACGAACGGGCAGGTTCCCTCCTTCCGCGTCGATCCTGTCGCAGTGTTTGCACTCTCCACACGGACGTCTTGACAAAGCGTCAGCGTTGTTGTGAAGTCGACCCGCTCGGTGTTTGATCCTAAAGTGGTACTGCTGTAGTCTTTCCAGCCAACGCGCTACTTGGCCCTCGGGATTCTTTATACGCAGTAGCCACGAGAGGGCAGCGTGGTCGGTCCTGATCAGAAACTCCTGTCCGTATAGATACTTGTGGAAGTGGTTGACGGCTTTGACAATGGCTAGCAGTTCCTTCCTTGTGGCACAGTAATTTCTCTCTGGTTTGGAATGTAATTTACTAAAATATTCGATAACCCTTTCCTCCCCATCTTGTATCTGCGACAATACGGCCCCAACTCCCGAGTTACTCGCATCGGTATCGAGGACGAACATTCCTTTGTCCCTGGGGTAAGCCAAAATGGGGCTGGTGCACAAAGCCGTCTTCAGTCTCTTAAAGGCCATCTTACATGTACTGCTCCACTTGAAAGTCGCCTTCTGCTCCGTCAGTTGGTGTAACGGTGCTGCGATGTCGGCATACCCTTCTACAAATCGTCGGTAATATGTGCAGAGTCCCAAGAAGCTTCGTAGTTCATGCTTGTCTCTTGGTATGGGCCAATCCCGGATAGCAAGAACTTTCGTCGGGTTGGTTTCTATTCCTTTCTCCGACACGATATGGCCCAGGAACTCGACTCGTTTCTGGAAGAGTGAGCATTTCTTGGGATTTAGTTTCAAACGAGCGTTTTCCATTCGTTCTAGCACCTCCTCGAGATTCTTCAGATGGTCATCAAACGTTTTGCCCATAATCATGACGTCGTCGAGGTATACCAGACAGGTCTTCCATGTCAATCCTTTCAGCACCATCTCCATCAGCCGCTCGAATGTTGCTGGCGCATTACATAATCCGAAGGGCATAACGGTGAAGTGATAGAGGCCACTTCCGGTGGAGAACGCAGTCTTTTCTTTGTCGTCCGGGTGCAAGCCTACTTGCCAGTAGCCACTCTTCAAGTCCAAGGTCGAAAACCACGCCGAGCCGGATAAGGTCGTCAAGGTATCGTCTATTCGAGGAAGGGGGTAACTGTCTTTCTTCGTGACGTCGTTCAGTTTCCTGTAATCGACGCAAAATCGGGTAGTCCCGTCCTTCTTGGTAACCAAGACTACTGGAGATGACCACGCGCTGTTGGATTCTTCAATTACCCCATCTCTCAACATGTTGTCCACGAGTTTTGTAGCTTCTTCTTGTTTGGCTAGGGGTAGTCTTCGAGGAGCCTGACGGATCGGTTGCGTGTCACCAGTGTTTATTCGGTGTTCTACGATGTTGGTCTTCCCGAATGGTTCCTCCTCTGAGGCGAAGACATTACGGTGCCTACGAATGAGTCCTTTGGCCAGTTTTCTCTCACGAGCAGACAGCTGGTCCCAGTTGACCTCCAAGCCTTTGGTATCCCCGTCCTTAGACTCATTCTCAACGTCTTCTTCCTCGCAGTTCAACACTCGGGCGACTGGCTCACACATTCCAATAATCTCCCCTTTTCTAATATTGACTGCATTGGGAAACACGTTTGCCACACGTATGGGTATGTCACGGTCGGTTTTGACTAGGGTGCTCGCGATCAGGAGCTTGTGGGTCGAGTCACTTGCCGGCTGCACCATCCCCAAACTGTATCCGGGGTTTGTCTCTACTCTGGCGGGAACGATGACTTCTGCATTACCATCTACCTTCGTTGTCTGACAGACCACTAGTCTGACCGTTGCAGCTTCCACATTCGGACGTCCCAGCACAAATTCTTCGGCTCCAAAACGCAGAATTTTCTGTTCTGGATCGATCATTAAACCATACCGGCTGATTAGGTCCATTCCCAGAATGAAATCGTCAGCGATTTCCGCCACCAGAACTTCATGCCTTATTCGGAGTCGACCGAGCTCTACATTCACCACCGCTGTACCCAGAACCGGTGTTGTTTCTCCCGTGACCGTCTTCACATTCGTGGCGGTACATACTGATTTAATCTGACAATTTTGTAACCTGGATCTGCGTGTAAGGGACACTTCGGCTCCTGTGTCGATGATGATCTTCGATTCCCGTCCATTGATTTTTCCGCTGATTGTCGGACTATCGACGCTCCCCGCGATACTTCTAACCATTACAGTTGTTGGGGCTTCTCTTTTAGCAGCCAGTACGCGCCCCGAGGTACCGACTGCCTTTAGTTTTCCTGCTCCTGATGTAGACGAGGTCGCGGCTGCGATCTCCTCATCGGCCCTGGCGATCTAACACGGCAATCCCTCCTAACATGCCCTTGACGCCCACACCTGTAACATTCTAGGCGCCCTCCATGTTGTCTAGAACTGTCCGTCTTGATTTCGGCAATTATTTCGCGGGTGAATTTCTCAAAGTTCTCGCTCATTTTGTCGAGACTCTCTTGAATAGGGTTTACTTCGCCCTCAACCCCAATGCCTCGTATCTTAACATTGGAACGAGGTGAACTGTTGTATGCGGCGTCCACTTCTAACGCTCGAATCAGCGCCTCGGATGGTTTCTTGAACCCGGAGATTTGCAGGACTCTTCTTACCTCACTATCTCTTACGCCGTTTACGAAGGTTTCCGCTGCCAGTCTGTCTTGAAAGTCTTGCGGAGCTTCAGGATAGGCGAGGTGTACCAAACGTTTAACATCAGCCGCAAACTCCTGAAGAGATTCACTACTCTTCTGAATCCTAGATTTAAGCTGCGCTACGAAAACTTGCCGGAGGTGTTCATCTCCAAATCTCAATTCGAGGGCGGTCGTCAAGGCGGTATAGTCCCTCTGGTTCTCTTCTGATAATGTCTGTAGAATCTCCAGGGCCGCACCTCGTAGTGCTACTACCAAAGCGGTCGCTTTGTGTTGGTCATTCCAGCCATTCGACAAGGCCGCAACTTCAAATTGCTTCTTATAAGTAGTCCACGACGTCTGCCCATCGAAAATAGGGGGTTGAACTCTCACCGGACTGAATTCTGCAGGGGTCGCAATTGTAGGTCGTGGTGTTTGCAACCTTTCTTCGAGCTCCTTGATCTTGTTTTCCATTTCATTTCTCACCTCGTCCACTTCATTTCGCACGACTTGGAGGATTTCGCTTCGGCTGTTCAAAAGTGTAGTTTGCATAGCTTTTAAATTTTCTTCCATTATTCTTTGATTTTCTTCCATTATTCTGCGATCTTCTTTTCTATTTTCTTCCATTATTCTTCGATCTTCTTTTCTACTTTCTTCCATTATTCTTCGATTTTCGCTCAACATTTTCATCATTTTTGTCAGTTGTTCCTCCATGTTGGCTGTTTGCGCTCTTGTGGTAGTCGGCATAAAATTTTCTTCTAGAAACTTCTAGAGCCTTGACAGATATCAATTCTCGAAGCCAATGTCAGGTGATGAAAGTCTAATTCCGTTATTCCACTCTTACCGCGGGAGAGAATTTTCTCGAAAGTTCACTTTGTTCCGGTCTCCCCTAGTAGCACCAACCAAATTCGAATCCCGATTTATTTCACAATTAATCCCACTTCTGACACCAGTGTTACGATTGACGGACGAATAATAAATCGGGTGTTGGTAAAACTCAAAAAATTTATTTCTTCAGGTCGAATTACAACACTATCTATTGCGACGAATATGTACAGAAATTATTCCGGCGCTCTCGACTGTCTTCACTGGATGAATGCCTCCATTACCTACGGTCGCCTCTATTTAAACCCATAGTCTCTGATCGAGATCCTTCACGAACATCCATCGCGACTCCGCTTCGAGACTCCCCTGGACGCCGCTTCGAGACGCTCCAGACCTGTCTTTATGCGCCCGCCTCTCGGCCGTCGACAACAGCGATGATTCACCCACGTACGTCCAGAAGGCTCTCGACCGCCATAGGCGTCGTACTGGGGCGGCGTAAGGGTGTATTTCGTAACAATATGCTACTTCTGATTTACACAAAATTCACTAAATAAACAAACTTTATTAAAATATCTATTGTTTATTTATAAATTACAAGTATTTTGATACAATGCAGTAAAACTTAACTGTTACAATTTAAATTAGTTAATAAACGCATAATTGTTTAAAAGGGTCCATACAGCTGTAAACAAATACATAAAAATAAAGAAACTATCTGGTAAGGAATATGTATATGTTCATGTAATTTGAAAAAACTAAACACCACAAAACTTATTCACTTAACATTTTTTTTATAGCCGAAATATAGGGATTGTCAAGATGGGGCACACAGTCTAATGGTTTCTTGCCATTAGCATCTACAATATCTCTGTCACTTTTTTTACTTAACAGTAATTCTACAATATACCTATGCCCTTTCTGACACGCAATGTGTAATGGTGTTTTGCCTTCATTATCCCGAACATTGACATCCGGACCTTGGTTTACTAAAAATTCAGCAATTTTAAAATTTCCTGTATTACAAGTATAATGTAGAGGCGTACGACCTAGAGAGTCTTGAACATTTAATTTAACTTTTTTTTCAACCAGCAGCTTAATAATATTATAATTATCAATTTGACAAGCATAGTGGATAGGTCTCTTTTTTTCATTATCTGAAGCATTTAGATCTGCACTTTTAGAAACCAACGCCCTAAGTCTTCTAATATCTCCCACTTCGCACGCGTAATGCACTGGCATTCGACCAAGAGCATCTTTACCGTCTACTTTGATAACGTCAAGCAAATTCTGAATCTCCTCGGGTGTTTTGTCTTTAAATATCGCATGTACAGACCCAACAGATTCCGCAGCATTATTTAGACGCGAAAACAAATAGTAATGGGCTTTTAAGTCTTCCTTGTTCGTTTTTTTTTTATGTGAAATCACGTTACTTAATAGTGCATCTGCGTATTTCTTCTTTTTCACAAGTTGTTCCAAACAATTAAACGAACGGTATTTTATTATTAAGGATACGAGAGCTTTTGAATCGATACTTTTATGAATATTTTTTAACCAATCGATATTTTCATTGCAAGCAAAGATGAACGCGTAATCGAATTTTATTACATAAAACAGAATTGTAACCAAGTGTTCTTTGTAAAAAGAATGCCCGCTACTATTATACATTGGTATCAGAAAGGGTAATAGAAGCATTAAGTTTTTTACACAAATGTGCAATGAACCTTGGATAGTTTTGAAACGGTTTAGAATCTTTTGGTAATTTAAGGTATCTCCGGTATCTGTTGATTCGGTAATGTTGTCTTGTGAAATACTCAATGACTTTAAAAGTGGATATTTTTTGCTCCAAGCACACGACAACCGTAATTCTTCAGAAAGATTTTGAGCGGTCGTAGAACCACACTGTGGCAAAAGTTTATAACTTTTATAAAGTATTGCTAAACAACTACCTTTTTTCTCGAATAACAACAAATCTAGGAAAAGCCTGATATTATTGTATTTCTCTTTGCAAATAAAATTCTGATCACGACTTCTTCTAGGGTCATTCTTATAGAGATAGACGGCTGCAAAATATTCACCGTATGAGTTGTGAATAAATTCCGGTTCAAGATCACTGTTCACCTTATTTATCAGACCTACAGGATCCCTATCGTTCTTAATCTGCTCTAAAAATTGAGTATCTTTACTGCGAGAAGAGCAGAAAATTATACTACAAACGTTTTCAGGTTTTTGATCGATGTAGAAATCAAATGCTGCTTTTGCGTAACTATCAATTCTAGACTGCTTTTCAGTGCCGTATATTTTCCTATTTTCGTCTATGTCTAAATCTATATTACGTTTTTCAGTATAATAGATTTTATACTTTTGGTCAACAAAAGTATCGTATAACTTTACGATCGTGATTATTTCATTGTTTTGATTAAGAAACGACTTTACGTCTGGTTTCGAAAGCAGGAACTCCGTCAGAAGGAATATCTGCAAGGGAACTCCTAACAGGTTGTTGTCTAAAAAAGGTACACAAAGTTTAACTTGTTCGAATGCTATTGCCGCTTCTTCGTCCGAAAAACTCAACCTCTCCTGTATATATTCCCGCTGTTGTTCTTCGTTGAACGCTTCTATTTCGATGGAGAACGTTTTCAGTTTTTCTTCTAGTTCATCTTTCAGGTTTTTCCTGGACGTAAGCCACTGTTTGAACCCACTCTTAGCGATTTTTTCTATAACTTTCAAAATTGCTGCGAAATTTGCATCCGATACTTCGTCTAGGCCATCCCAAATGATGCGCATCTTCTTCTTCTGGATAAATTTTCGGAAAATCTTTTCTTCCGACGAATCCTTGTACGAACCGGACACCGTGGCCATTAGAAACTGTTCGATATTTTCTTCCATTTTTGAATAGCGGGGAGCATGTTGTCTGGCATTTATTATAAGGGTCAATACTGACGAACAACTGCCGATTTTTAAGCTTGTTGCCAGTGTGCTTTTACCCATTCCTGCGTTAGCACACACCACGTTTATATCGTTTTCGATTTTACCAAATAATTTTGATTCATGTTTAGAATATTCATACAGATGATCTACTCTGAAACTGGAGAGTTCACTCACATGTTTTTGACTTCTTATCCACTCCAAACATGATTCATTTTGATCAATTTCGAGATATCTAAACTGATGACAGTTCGCTTTGGTTGTGGTACGAGCATATTTCTCAAACTCCTCGTAGTCCGGTTCTGAGTCCACGATATCCATTACATTAGTCTTGGAAGTATTGTTACCAAAAGTTATTTCTCCATTGTCGCCTTTGTTAACATTTTTCAGTTTTTTGATAAATTTTTCCTTGTCCTTTACGTCGTGAATTATAATTAAATTGTCTTCAACGTTTTGTAGAAAGGCAGTGCTGACGGTAACTTTCGCTAAAGTCCTGGAAATGTGGCAAGATGGTAATTCATCTGCTTCTTTCCCAATTTGTGTCGGACCATTGATCATTTCGACGAGTCTGTCTGTAGTAATCAAGTCGGTTATCTCGCTATCGACATTTACCAATTTCCTTAAAGTAGTCTCTGCTTGACCTTCTAGTGAGTACGTAAACGTGTCCAAAATTCTATTATATAGTGTTGTTTTCTCTGCTAAGTCAGACAGTTTTTCAAGCAGGACACCCTTCGGCATAGCCCTTTTTGAATCTTCTGTTCTTGCAGAACGCAAAACCACAATATTCTTGATTTCCAATAAACTTGCCACTTTATAAACTTCTGCGCATTCGTCTACAAGTAAAGGAGATTTACCCATAAGCCAGAAGATTTTGTTTTTGTGTGCATCATTGATTTCTGCTGTGTCATCTAAAGGGCTCACAAGAGTACTCAGATATTTAAATCCTTTGTCGTTAAGTTTATCTTTTGCAGGTTTAGTCCAGAGATCTGCAACTTTTTTACCACAATCTTGGCTTACTATTGTTATTTTAAACCCGGAAACGGCCTCTTTAAATGCTTGTCCATTATTGTTAACTGAATTATTGTCGGACAATGGCATTGTCTTCATATAAGGCGACAAAACAGTAAGGGCAATATGTTTCACAAATGTCTTGTCTAACGTGTTTTTGGGCCCCTCAATCATACTCCATCTAATTATCACGTTCTTAAACTCGTTAAACGCAGATTCTTGGGCGTCAAAACTGTCTTGAAACAATTTTAGTGTTATCGCTTCAAGAGCACTAACGTTGGCTTGGTTAGTGTATAAATGAAAGTTTTTGAAGAAGTCGGAGGATGGATTTGTCGGTGTACAGACGTACGAATAATTGTTTGATTGAGCTGAAGTATTTAGCAATTTATTTATAAAGTCGTCTTGCTTCATTTCAGCTTGAACAGTTACTGTTTCTTTGTCGATGTCCAGCTGTTTTACGTTTACATTTAAAGAACGGGTAGTCAATAAAATCGCCTTAAAATGACCGATTTTTTTAGCGGTCTCGATGTAGTTTTCACGATATTTATACATGTTAAAGTCTTTCCGGTTAGGACTAGACAAATCTGCAACGTTTATGGCGTTTTTTTTATTTTTTTTCTCGTTCGAATGTTTCAGTTGCACTGCCAACGTTTGAGCTTCTTTGCCGACGTATTTTACGTGAATCACTACGTCATCAAAAACTCCATAATTTTCGTCATTGGATGATACGTAAAAATATTCTACACTTTCATCCATAACTAAATTCAAAAGTACATATGCTACGTAAAGATGTTCGTAGTCTTTACCTTTGTCGGTCGTGCCTTCTCGTTTGCTAAATTCCTGAAAATAAAAAGAGAAATATCAGAGAGTGCTGCTTCCTTGGGTAATTACTGCAACGTAACACTTTGAAATTTAGATGTGTAGGAAAAAAACTCAAAGCAGATTCGTACACCACGAGTATAGGAATATATTATTGTAAAAATTTAAATCATTTTAAAATAGAATTCTTTGAGATGACGTCATCAAATTTTGGTTCATGATATTCTTAATATAAATACAAAATTTGACAACAATCGGTCGAGTAGTTTCGGGGATTATCTCTATAATATAAATCAATATAGACGGACAGACGGACAGACAGACGACAAACCGACGGAAACGGGAGACCATTTTTATCGTACTCTAGGGGTCATGAACGTCGAGAAAACATGAAACTGGCAAGTCGTGCGATGGATTCGATAGCTAACGCTCGGACGTTTGTATTATCTTTTGGTTTCATCTTTTAAATCTTACACATTTACAAATTTTATTATTAAATTATTTTAATTATAAATATAATCTGTAGCTTCAGTACCGATATAAAGATATTTCCTGCAATAGAAAGTACTAAAAGCAATCTTCTTACTCACTACTTCAACTATACGTGAAAAGTACTTGATTTTTGAAGTACTTTTGTTGAAAACCATAAATTAAAAAAAAAAAGTATAAATGTAAATGCGCCAATTTTACCGTCTACATGTTGTACTGATGCTACTGATTTAAAATAGATGAACAAAATTTTCTTTATTTTAAAAATAAACGACAATAAAAAATAAAAAAAAACGTACCGCAAAAGGGTTATTGATGTGTGAGCTCATGTTGGATCCAGTTTTTTTTGTTCGTCTGCAAAAAATAAACAAGTGTGTTAACATAAATAGAAAATATAATAAAAACATAACTTGAATAAAACATAAAGAAGCATAAATTTAACTTAAGTAATTCCTAGCACTTACAGTACTAAGTAGCACTTCACGTTGCTAACGATAGTTAATTTTAATTATATTTAATTATGCCTTCAGCTACTTTTAATCAACTTAGTTAATTTATTTTGTATCAATGCTTACCACAAAGATGTTGTTTTCAAATCTACAGATTATTTCACTGTGGTTTACTTCTTGGATGTTCTACAATTTATAACGCATACTTGAACAAGTGCTCGTACTAATTATTGTACTAGATGTTGATATCGATTTGGTGGGTCGTTGCAACCTCCCGCGTCTTATATACACGTAACGTGACTGATAAGCCCATTCTTGTAATTAAAGATAAGTCCACATAATACATACTTATTTTTCAATGATATCTTAATATCGCAGTTTTTTATTTAAAGTGTTTTGATTATTTAACAGTATATTAAAAAAGATATTTAATCGGGTCCATTATTATTATCGATGAGTTCAAGTTTTTTTTTCTGTTGAGAAGATAGTGGTGACCGAATTTGAATCAAATTTTTGCGCTGAATTTAATTAACCCCGGCGCGAAATCGCATTTGAATAACTCGAATTTGAGAAAAAAATTCAATCAAAAAAATCGGTAAAAATAGGCGTTGGGCATGTCACAGTTGTCCCCAATACGCTCAGCAAATTCTTGCGGCCTTTTAATCGGAAACATTTTTTAATCGACGCCAACACATGCTGCAAATTTGTTTTATTGTTTGTAAATTCACCGATAAGGTTAGGATTTTTAATCGTTAACTGGTGCGAACATAATTTAACAGACATTTGCTATGAGTTTTCATGAAATTCACTTAGTCAGGACTAGTTTTTTTTTGTCTAATTATAAATAAGTTTCTGGGTGCATATACTTAAGTGTTACATTATAACTCATTTTAATTCTTGACGCAAGATTGCTAATAGTTCATTTACGGTAGTGAAATTAACAAAATTCATACCGTGAACTGGCGGGCGGTTAAAATAATTTCTTCCTTTAGGCAGTTATCATCGGTATTATTTCCTTGCAACGTTAAAGAGTGATTACATCACCGATACATTTTAATTTCAGTAATTTTCTTTGTTGTTTAATTTAAATTGAACGTAAACTTTCATGCTCTGCAGTTTCTAACCTCGCGTAATATTTTATTTTCATAAGTTTATTTCACACCAGATCTTTTGCTTTTATAAATCTTTGCTAAGTTTTTTGTAAATATTTTGTTGATTAAAAGTTCATAAGATTGTATGGCGAATTTAATTGTTCTTTATTGCTCTTTTGAAACTTTAACACTTATTCAGTCGTCGTTAATATCAGAGTCATAGAAATTGAACATGTAAAATGGAATTGAGGTTAAATAACACCGAAACACGTAGCAGAAGCGGAGGGCGCGGTTCCTAGTGAAGCTAGCGGGATTTATCGCGCCATCTGTACAAGGGATGCAGGCTCTGTATAGATGTCAGGGCAACGGTTTGGACGGTGTGACGCTGTCAGCTTATTTATAGCCGTGAGTTCCAACCACTAGTTTTCAACCGTAACGGCCTGGATAGCACGGCATGTTCGTCATGGAGGTGTGCTGTGCGGTAGGGCGATAGATAGAATCACCGTCGCGGGGGAGAACAGCTCCAACCGGGAGCCCCAAACTCCGCTTGTGCTAGAACGCCCCTATAGATATTTTTGTTGTGCTGTTGTTGACTGCCATAATTTTAAATTTGCCGCCACACACCTGTAATAATTTGTGTATTTGCATCCAGTTACAGTTTTTTTTTGAGCTGAAAAACGATTCCGATTCCAGGCAGCCCGAGGGGCACGTCACAAGTTACCCTCGCACGCAGCTTTTTTTTGTCAGTGGAGGAATAAATAATTTTGTGTCCTCCATAAATTTTGTGTTTTATTTAGCGGTACTTTTCCAACTTTGGAGTCCACCACTTGCATCTGAACGCATCCCACCATTTTTCAAAAACAGAACGTATGCTATGAAAGATGCTGTCGAATGATGGCACACCGAGCTCTGATAAATGTCAGGTCAGGTCAGGATATAAATTAAAAAGAATAAGATTTCTGTTCTCATTCTTCCCACTTCGTTCTGGAATTGAGGCGAAATATAAATTTACATTACAGATTTTCTCATCATAGGTAAAAAATACGGTGACAAATGTCAATTATCTGTCAAATTTGAATTATACCACATTGTGACGTCAGGAATACCAACCCACTAAATAATACCTTAATGTGATTGTGAAAAATACCTGTTTTAAAAATTGTAATGTTGAAATAACAACTTAATAATTTACTTAACAGAATCTAAAAGAGAAAAAAATGATGCAGGAAAAACCTTCGGAATTTTGAAAAACTAATTAAAAAAATAAATAGAAACAAATTTGTATAAACGTACTAAAAAAGTGGGTTTATATGACTTCTGACATGTTGCTGAAAGTATACAGCTTGTGTTACCGTTTAAATTATTGACTGAGATATATATTGCACACAACGCACGATTGAATATTACGTTGCATATCTACTTTCCCTGGCAAGCAAAAAATCAATACTTATACTTTATTATTATCAACGTGATTACTAAATAAGGAAACAACAGAAAAAAATAATTTTGTATTTATTGTTCATATTTATGCTCACCAATAAATCATATTAATATTAGAATTTTTTAAAACAGATTTTGATTTTTCATTTGCAGAAAATTTTACACTGAACTCGAGCAGAATTAAATCAATATGATAAATTCGTTATATTTAAGAAACAAATTTGTTTAAGATTTGTCCCAACCCTTTCCAATAAATATCTCCTTCACCGGCTCTTCGAACTGATGTACACACATTTCCAAAATTATCTTATCTTGTCTAACCATGAAACTGATAAAAACTAGTTACCAAAACTTTAATCTTCTCCGCTTTCCTAATTCCACAACTGACGACGCAAGATGATATTACAACTATTGCTAGTGTTCTACATCTTCACCACATGTACAACACCACAAGCAGTGACACCAGTAAGTCTCCCATTTCACCTAACTATAAATCTAAATGCCTCTCAGAATTGTGACCTTGCCCGCAGCTCATTCTCCTGCTCCGACGAACAAAAAAAGCATCTGTACGAAAAATGCTTCACCACGAAATTTTGCACAAAGAAAGACAACTTCAATCCACAAACTCTGCCACAATGTCCACGGGGCTTCGTAGACGCGAGCGATTTCTGTTACGCAATCACCAAAAAGTCGCCATTTCCGCCAAAATGTCCGTTCACAAACGTGCGGTCGATGAATTTCACGCACGTCGAGGATATCATCAAACGGGACAAAATCGGTGCTGTGTGGATGCCGGTTCAGAGAAACATCACCAACGGTCTTGGGTTTCTGCAATGGGTGGAACATACCCGAAGCTACAAAACAGAATTTAGAGGTCGCATTCGTTACGAAGGCGAACTTCAAGGAAAAGATTGTCTTGTGTACAATGCCTCCAGGGTGTTTGCTGTTTCCTGTAAGGAAGAACATGTGGGTTTATGCTTGTACGAAAAAGTACACAATGCCGGGAGTATTTTGTGCGGTGGTGAGACAAACTGTGTCGAAGTTACTCAACGAACTAACCCGAAATGTGTCTGCGCGCGAGAGTCGTTCTCCCTCGGGGAATATGAAGAGGCCGAGTTTCTGGATCCACAGGAAAATAATATCTATTCATTAATGGCACGAGATAGAAGTTGTGGTATCGGGATTAGAAAAACTGTCAATGGTACTTTTGCCTGGAACAACTCCATGAGAGACCTTGATTATAGTTTTTGGTCTCCTGAAGCTACTTTTGACGATGACAGTAACTACGTGGTGTCAACTGAAAATGGTTGGATTTTGTCAAAGGGATCAGTATCGTGCACTTTGACACAGAAAAACATAGAGAGATTGTCATCAAGTTTATACCTTAGTGTTTTTAAAGACAATATTTTACATTTGACAGTCGAGTTGCCAAGTGGCTTACAGACAGACGACAAACGTCAGGATCCTCTAGTTTTTTGTTTTACTGATACTGATCCTATAAGTTTGCCCTATCGATATCCACAGGTAAACATCATGTATAGAGGTGACACTTCTATCATATACCAGTTCGAGTCTTTTGGAAATGTACCTGGTCACCACTGGTGCGAAGTCTTTACGTATCCAGATTCAGAAACTCTCACCAGTAATGTAATTTTTGTGAACCCAAAGAGTACCAACTTTCCGGATCACTTTGTCGCCACATATTTACTAAACTATACCACAGAGATAAATCCTTTAAGTTCTGATATCACTAACTTGATGAAGTCATACGTACTTAGTAGCAATTGCTTATACCAGATAATCAAAATTGTAAACTTGGATGAAACCAATAAAGTCGTTTCGATCAAGCTCCGTTACAGCTGCCCAAGTGATAGCTTACCCGATAGCATAAATATCCAGAGAATTAGTTTACAAAAGGTAGATTTCTGTCCAAGAGTGGTTGAAAACGACGTGATCTGGAATGAAACCAGAGCAGGAACTGTAGCCAGTCCTTCAGAACCTTGTTTCACTCAGGAAGGTTATGATTTACAACGACCGTGTGTTGACGATAGTTTCAATGGAGCCTATTGGGCTAAGGCAAAGTGCAACCTTCCCAAAAAGTCTTCAGTAACAAAGCAGTTGCTAGAAAAGGCCAGCGATCCAGATCAAGGTATATCAGAATTGCAAATTATATCACGAAGCTATGCACATTTCAAGGCTTACGATGTGCTCATTGTTGGAAAAACATTGCAAGAGTACAGTTTTAGTGAAACGTCAAATTGTGTTGATAAAATGTTCAAAATTATTGATATAGGAGACAACATATTGAATATTGAAAGTGATATTATAGTGGAGTCACAACAGAAAATGCATGCTGTGGATGTTTGGCTATACGTGATGAGTCATATTCAAAACATTTGTCGCACTGAAGATGTTTTTATGCAAATTACCAAAAATATTTTCTTCATTATTTGGAGAACTACAGCATGGTGTAGAACAAATAGTGGTGGTGAAGAAACGGTATTTTTGCAAAATATCACAGCTTTGAGTGACATATTAAACAGAAAAGAGATAGAAAGTGCCATTTGGATAAACACATCTTCCGATCCTACTCTTACGACTGAAAGAGCGTTGAAGTACTATCCAACGCAAGGTTTTTTTTTTGATAAGTCTGAGTTAGGAAATGTTAGTTACGTGTATGAATTAAATATTCTTGACACCTACATAGACGTGTCATCACTTGTCTACCAAACTCCAGTGTGGCTCATTCAACGGTTTGATAATGTTTACACGCGTAACAGAAAAGTGAAATGCGCCCTTTGGAACTATGGAAATGTGACCGCCAGAGTTGAAGGTTCGTGGTTGGTGGATGGTGACTTAAGTATAACCAAGACCCACTTTATCTGCAAATTTAGAACCGTGGGAAGCTACGCCATGATACTAGCACCTGAGGGTAACCCAGGAGACGATTTGAAGGAACTACCAGAGTCAAATAGCACATCTTCCGATATTCTTTCAAAACTTGCTCAAGTCACATCTACACCAAAGGGTAACCCAGGAGACGATTTGAAGGAACTACTAGAGTCAAATAGCTCATCTTCCGATATTCTTTCAAGACTTGCTCAAGTCACATCTACACCAAAGGGTAACCCAGGAGACGATTTGAAGGAACTACTAGAGTCAAATAGCACATCTTCCGATATTCTTTCAAGACTTGTTCAAGTCACATCTACACCAAAGGGTAACCCAGGAGACGATTTGAAGGAACTACTAGAGTCAAATAGCACATCTTCCGATATTCTTTCAAGACTTGCTCAAGTCACATCTACACCAAAGGGTAACCCAGGAGACGATTTGAAGGAACTACTAGAGTCAAATAGCACATCTTCCGATATTCTTTCAAGACTTACTCAAGTCACATCTACACCAAAGGGTAACCCAGGAGACGATTTGAAGGAACTACTAGAGTCAAATAGCACATCTTCCGATATTCTTTCAAGACTTGCTCAAGTCACATCTACACCAAAGGGATTTGTGTCTTCTGACGTGGTCCTCATTGGCCTAATCCTTCAGAAAATCCGCACCCACAAAGACATCAATTTGAACCTCCTCGGCGACACCATCAACAACTTGCAAAATTTCGACAAAACTGTTCTAGAAACGAGTCAAAAAGAACGTAGTGCAACTGATAGCATTTTATACAACATTGACACAATTCTACAGAATTATGAGTGTCAAAATGTGTGTCGAGTGACGAAAGACAAGTTCGTGACCGTGATCTACAACACACAGGATGCTGATTTTGGGGCCTTGGTGCTTCTGGATAACGGCGAAGTGGAAATTTTAACTGGTAAAGTAACACCTTCGGATCTAACCCGCTACAAAAATTTCGACAGTGCTGTTTTGCTAAGCCCCGAACTCAACTCTCAGTTGGAGGGCGACGCCAAAGTGATAGTTAGCATCTTCTACAACGACAGTTTGTTTATCGAAACGAAAAAGAGTTCCCATTATCGCGTTACGGGGAAGATCTACAGCGTCATTCTCCACGAAATCCTCGCCAACTATTCCGGACCTTTGTCAGTCATCCATAGAATGAAACCTACAACTCGGGAGAAGCAGTGCTCGTACTGGTTTTACAACCCACCTCGACACGTAGCAGGGTTTTGGAAAAAATACGCTACTGATGCACGGAATTCCCCTTGGGTCCAGTGCGACTTCTGGCACACTACGCATTTCGGGGTTTTGTTGCTGGTGGATTCGTATGAAGAAACGCCAGCGTTGGACTTCATCACCACAGCGTGCTGCCTTTTGTCTCTATTTGGTTACTTTTCCCTACTTTTGACCGCGTTTCTGTACAGAAGTTGGAGGACCAAAGGTGCGAACAAATTTTTGCTTAATTTTGCGGTCTCCGGCTTGGTTCAAATTTTGGTCTTCTATGTTTCCACACACGCGAATAAAAAGTACTTAAATAATCATACCTTCTGTGTGGCTAGTGGCGTAATTCTTCACTACTCCGTTCTAGTCCAGTTTTGCTGGATGTTTATTATTGCACATCTCCAGTATAAAAAACTAATTCTGAATAGTCATGAGCAAACGACACATTTTTTGTTAAAGATGAACTTAATGGCTTGGGGGCTTCCACTTATCGTGATCTTGAGTGTCTTGGCATCTGGTGACTTCTATGGTAACAATAAATTAGGGATTTGCTACCCTACTGGAACCGCTTTATATTTAGGGGTTTGGTGGCCCATTTCTATAGTTGTCGCTAATAATTTCGTCATCTACGTGTTCATTATCGATGCGATTCTTAACACAAAAGATAGTTTGAAGCGTCACGGACCTGACGATTCGTCTCGTCATCTAGTACGTATTGGGTCTCTTTTTTTCTTTCTGGGATTGACTTGGATTTTTGGCTTTTTGGGAGAATTGTCACACAGTAAGGTTTTTATTTATCTTTTTGATACTTTTGCAACGTTACAGGGATTTGTGTTATTTTTAATATATATCGCCTTTAGTAAGAGTGTCAAACAGTTGTATCTAAACAAAGTCAAAAAGACGAGAAAACGTCATGAGACCGACATTCGAATGTCGAATTAGATCTAATGGGTAGTTATTAGTTGTGATACTAATTTCTGAACTAATAAATTCATGTGCAGTTGTAATACTATGGCGTGTTTAATTTATTGACACACAGACACGCTTTCTACTTGTTGATTAATTTTATCGGGTATTGATTTTCCTAAACTACTCTAAACTTGGAAGCTTGACTCCAATAACAATCTTATCCACGCTGATAAGCGATAACCAAACATTTACAAACAAATTAGTGTCGTCGATATGTGTTCAGTAAGCGTAAAACTTACACTCTGTCTACAATTGTTTCACTTTGTATTAATATGTTTCTGTACTCAAGACAAGTGGGTACTATCTCAACCACCTTCGGTAAGTGTATTTCATGATCTAGGAATCGGGACCACCTCCTTAGAGAACTGTGTTTTTGTCAACAGCACAAGGTACTCGTGTTTTGACGAAAACCACAGTCACTTGTACCAATAATGTTTCGACACGCAATTCTATACTAAAGACAACAGTTTCGAACTGTCAACGCTGCCGCACTGTCCACAAGATTTTTCAGACGAAGGAAACTTCTGCCAGCTAGAAGAAGTAATTTGATACTTAACATTGATGTCGATGATTTCCGCTAAATCTTGTTCTTTCAAAGAATCTGACCAAAGATTTTGTACCTTGTTTAGGCTGTCTTGAGTTATGATTGTTACATGGAACTTTAAAACCGACTCTCTTCATCGAAGGTGACAAAACGAGAAGAGTTATTAAAGTTTTTATAAAACTTTTGTCCAACAAACCCTTCTTACCCTCAGTCAAACTCCATCTAATGATAAATACAAACTTCTCGGAAACAAATTCTTGGTTAGTGAAGCTTTTAGTAAATGTTTCTAGAACGTCATTTTCAATATCGTCAACTGCGGCTTGACTCGTATAGAATTGAAAATTGTCAAAAAAGTTGTCACAGTTACTGGTGGTAGTTGGCTTGAATCTGTAAGATATTCCATTACGTGAAGTGTTCAAGAGATAATTTGGGTTCGCTGTTGTAGCGTTCATTTCGAACTTGTTGTCGTCAATGCTTAATTGATGCTTCTTTTCCGTCTTAAACTGATTATTGGTGAGTAGAATCATCGTATCCGGGCAGTTTAGATTTTTTAAATTGTTATAGTAGTCTTTAAGGTACTAAACAATGCTGAAATTCCCTTTAGCAGCATTTAGATGCTGAGCACTTATTTTTTTTTACCGTCGCGTCGTTGTTGACATGTTTATGTTGAATGGTGTAGATTTCGGTTTCTTCTTTATCAGAATATTTGATTTCGATGACAACGTCGTCGAAAGCTCCATATTGACTATCGTTGGAAGACAGGTGAAAGTCGATGACATTGTCATCTTGAATCAGTTTTAGAAGCAGATTTACTAAGTAAAGATGTTCGTAATCTTTACCCTTATCGGTAGTACCGCTACGTTTTATGAATGTCTAAAATCAATATCTGTAGACAGATAACTTTCGAGTTATTTGATTCACTGTAGAATAAAGAGGAGAACTTGGCACAGAACTTGGAGTAGAATCTGTGTCGCTTTGGTACGTCATCTGGAGAACATATGAGAACATTATAGTGTTAGGTAAAATCTACTTACTGTTGTTGTGTTCTTGCTAGACTAACTATCATTTTAACACCACTTCACTGTGTTTGTTCTGAGCTAAAAGGTACGAATATAGGTGTACTGCATATATATTGTTAAGTTGAAACAAGATAAACGACATCAGTAAAGGATAGATAACGCTAACAGATTGTCGGTTCCTGATAAGAGATAACTTTAAGTAAATATGTAATTATAACGTAAATATAAAAACAATAATAAGGAACTACTTAAAAATGTTCTTCTCGAAAGAATGTCGATTGTTTGATTGATTTAATCTAAAGTATCGAGTCTATTTCAAGTTGTTTCTGGAATATAAAAACTTCCTTATTTTTGTTTATTTTTTATTATTAAAAGATTATAGACCATGTTACAATTACAAGCAATTGCTATATTGTGTTTTTTTTTTTGGTTTTCTAAGATTGACTCTCGTTAAGTTGTATAGTGATGTAGTATGTAGTAACATTTGCCAATATACAGAAAATGATGCCCTTATTAATATTAAAACACCCTGCGGCAGTAAATTCCCTATAAAAATGTTTTGAAGAGTTTAGCCCAGAAGACGATATATCTCTAGCACTTGTCTAAACTCTCGGTCAGTAAAATTTTTACATTGTTTTAGTAATTTCGCATTCAAGGATTCATATCGTTCCTTGAAACACTTAACCAAAGTATTCATGAACACAACCATCAAAAATCCCCGATAATAATCATCACCAAACCAAAAGGTTTCCAAAATTGACATTTCCAAAAACACTGAATCAGCATATAATTGAAATACGGTCCAAACTGCGACCACCACGTTTTTTATCCCGAAACGAAAGTCAGTTTTGGAAAATCGATTTTTGTTGGTCATGGATTTGCAGTTTCCTGTCAATAAGTCCAAAATTGGTGATCAACGTTGTCCATTTATTGATATCCCAAAAAGAGGATTTGAAAATCGCCACAACAGGACGAACTACTTGATTCAAAGTCCAAAATATGAACAGAATTTTGGAAATGTTTTCGAATATTTTTCTTTGAATGTGTTCATTAGTAGTCAGACTGAAAAGCCAAACGATTTTAACATGAATAAAGACAGATCTATATAACCTGAATAAATTTAGAAAGAAGGGTTTGATGAATTTGATATTTTTAATGGACAACTTATCGCGTCAGAGTGAAATTATTATTGAAGAACAACGTTTCCAGTTTTTCGATCAGCTAATGAAAGGTCAAATAGAAAGGTAAATATGAAGATTAATTTGTTGATTGGTTATAATTTGAAAAGTGGTGTAATTCGGAAAATGGGCTCCATAAAACACACGTGTATTTCTTTTAATTGGGGATACAACAAATTCGAAAACTCAGCAAAATCATAATTCTTCTAAATGCGTGTAGTTACAAATCGTATTTGTTATTTATTTTAGTAGCGAATCAAATTTGATAAAAGTGTATATATTTGCACTTCTGATATTAGATTTAGTTTACTTCTGCAAATATTATTATTGACGTTTATAGATCAAATAAAAAATCGTTATTTTATCTGTTTGACTAAGTTTCTGTTTCACGAAAATGTTGAGTTACCCCAAGCTTACAATAAATTGTCATTGTAAAGTAGAATTCCAGTGTAATAAATTTTCTAACCGCACTTCTGGTACTGATTTTCGTTTATTTGTATCATGGTAATGTAATACGTAGCCACATTTCCAACCAAAGAAAAAATAATCCCTTTATTGATATTGATAAAAAGAAATCCGGTTTGCGTGTGGTATCCGGCGCGCATATTGAGTTGCCTACCCGGAGGCGAGAGGAGGTAGTACGTGCGTGTTGTGTTGCCTATATCAACATCACAACCACAGCATAGATATCAATCAGTAGAGACGGCTCGCCGTTTTTCGTGACCCGTTTTCGTTGGTGGTCGTTCGCATTATGACCGAATGAGGGCGCCCAACTGACGTCTAAAATAAAGTCCCTAGATTACTAAAGTAACGCGAATAGGCGCCATTTTGGCTCAAATAAACAACCGCCAACTTTGAAAATAAGGACAATAATTGCTGGTATAATCAGTTATGACTACGAGAAATTACGAGTGTCTAACAATATGAATGTATTCTACGTGTTTTGGGTGCCTAAACTTTTATCTGAAAATAAAGTCAAGATTTCAAATTTTAATCATTCTATTTATACACTAACTAAAAACAATATTAAAAATTAATTGACCATGTCAACAAGGTTTCACCAGTGATGAGTTTCACATTGCAAGACTACGACTACTTTTATTGCTTTTATTTTTTGTCTCCAGAGACTTATTTTTTAAAGAAAAATGAAGCCTACACTTCAAAAAAAACGTTGTCATCTTGTGTATAATATTGTGACATAGTAATCTAGGGACTTTAGTCTAAAATATTTGAAATTTGGCAGTTTTGTTACAATATTTTTGCCAGTTTTGCTTGTTTAAGACTGCTTTTCCGGTAGAATTGTACAAATAGTATAAAAATGTAATTTTCACAATAAAAGGTAAAATCTTTGTCCGATGAATTTTCATACCGGATCCCTGTTGTGCGTCTTATTCTCTCCCTCGTGTTTGGAATTCTTGGAAAAGATAGTAAACATAACACATTTTTTAAACAAAGTAAAAATGTAATTTTCACAATAAAAGGTAAAATCTTTGTCCGATGAATTTTCATACCGGATCCCTGTTGTGCGTCTTATTCTCTCCCTCGTGTTTGGAATTCTTGGAAAAGATAGTAAACATAACACATTTTTTGTTTAAAAAGTCGTCGCAAACGAACAACAACGGTGGTTATGAATAACATAAAAACTGTAACAAATCATCGTGTTTATAAATTAAATATGGACTTTTCTTTTTTCTTATTGCGATTCACGATTATACGATTTGAGCAAACTAGACAGTTTGCAATAAATTGCGTACACGAATCAATTTTTGAAATTGTAAATGAAGTGATACTTTTTAAATTGGGTGGCGACATCTAGGAATAGTTTAGGCAACGACCATCCATGACGGCTTAAAATTCGGGTCAGAAAGAACAAAGGCGCCGACACGAGCTGTCTCTACTGATTGTTATCTATGCTGTGTCACAACCACAGTCACAACAACACCACAAGATCATTATCATTAATCATTATACGTACATAACATATATCACCTAGTGAAATATATATTTCCCCATATGTTTTTTCCAAAATGGCAAAATGACTTTTTCAAGTCAACAAAAATTTGCCACATGTTTGGAGTACAGAGAAAGCTTAAGCCATAAATTCTCTATCCTATCTTTGGGTGAAAATATGAATGTATGTGCTTGCAGTTATTGTTACAAAACCCCCATGCCATTTTAGTCGGATTGTATTGACAATGGTATGGGGGTAATCTAAGAATTTCATAACCACTATCCTTCAACGTCTCGCCTACCAAATAACGCTTGTGTGAATGTCCTAAAAGGTTTAATTAAAGCCCCCAATTATTTTTTCGAAAATTTTTGTTCAAATTAAATACTAACCAGCCAATTTTGAAAAAGTGTCTCGTCCATTTTTTTGTGATAATATATATCATTGTTTTTCGAATTTAATAAAAAGTTACAACCATCTACTTAAAACCCAAACTGACTTCCTGCTTGTAGAATTGTAAAATCTTGATTCTTCACTGTTAATTATGGTGGGATTACTTTTTAAATCTGATTCGTGCACCCAACGACGACGTGACACTGAACCGTTTTGGTAAATCCAAATTTCGTCGAGGTACACGAATGTTAAATGCTCCCAAAAATTTTGAAATTGGAGAATTTTGTCGGAAAAGTAATTTTTGCTGCAACAACATGTTTTTGTTCACATAAAATGGTGCGACCGATTACTTCCCTATATTTGTAACCCATCGACTTGAGAATTTTGTACAAGGTTGTTCGACCGTTTTTAAATTCCAAATGTTTTTGCGAATGAACGAATAGTTTGTCTGTTATAAAGTACTCATTTTTTTCGTTGTATGGCGAAATTAGCCGCTTTAGGTCTTTTCTAAATACATGATTTAAAAAAGGGTCAGTAGGTTTTCGCTTACCAAAAAATTAAGTTTTCAAATTTTCGTCTTTAGTGACGACAATTTTCTCTGCTGTTGCGCAACTGACCTACAAAAATTTTTTAACTAACAAATATTTAAAAACTTTAAAAGTCAGAGAAAATAATGGTCACTGTTCTCATCATTGACTCTTCACGTTTGCGTTGGGGACTATTTTTTTCATTTGCAGATAGCACTTTTTTATTGATTTTTTTTTTGTTGTAAGTTCAATTCTACGATCAAAATCATCTGCGTTTACTTAGTTCTTAAATGTATTTTGTATGGGTGAAACGTGCTAAATCGTCTCAGATTAACGAAAGGTGACAATTCGTTGCAGCTTGCAGCTTTGATGTTTTCAACAATTTCAACCATAAAAAATGTTAGTTTTAGTAGCTGGCATGACGATTTCAGGTGATTTGTGAACACAATGAAACGTTTAACCTCGCACTCAAATATTTTCTTTTGAAAAATTTTGGTAAAAAATAGAAGATTTTCATACCCAACACACTACTTTTTTATCGCCTAAAATTAGAGAAAAAGGGACTAATTGTGTCAGTTTTCAAATTTTAGCGTTTGCAATTTTGGTGCTGTGAAACAGAGTAGGTTGTTTTGGAGTTTTGGACACGTTCTGTCAAGTTTCGGATACACAATATGTAACGAAAACATTCCACTTCAAATTGGAAATAATGAAATTTCGCAGTAAAAGTTTGCGAACGTAAACTGTGGGTTTACTAATAACATCAAATGTCTTCTAATTATGTGGGGCAGTTTAAATTTTTCACATATTAGTTTTGTTTCTAAGTTTTTTTAGCAGATTCTATTCTACACATTAATTTACTTGTATGTTTTCCTTTTCCCGATGCGTTAAAACATCAAAGGCCTTCAAATGTCAAATGTTGATTATACTTAATAACCTCGTTATCAGGATTTAAAATGTTATCCGATTAAACCAAACAGCTAAAGTTAAGTTGTTAGCTGTTTTTCTATCGAGTGCTAAAATTTGGAGATTTATATTTAATTTATTGTACATCTTCAGTACTTATAACCCACATAATCCATTTTAAATTAATCACGTACAAAGTTGATAAGTGATGGATTTTATATATCTATTATTTCATAACGATTATGTCAGTTACTTCATTTTCTAGCGATAAATGAATTTTGAAAAATTTGTTATAAACTGTTTTCCATTCCACATTTATTCCTGTTAAAAGTATATATTTTTTTGAATAAAATTCGGTTGTAAAATGCAATTTTTCTTGTATTTTCATATTTTTCTATCGTTTGCTACATATTACAGATCTGTTCAAACTTTTCTCCTACCTTTTTCTGATTCTAACAATGTAATTTTTATTGCATTGATGTGCTAAGTTTCATCAAAATGTCTCTCTTTGTTTCTTCTCCGACAGTGGTATTAAAATTTTCAAACAGCGGGTAATTTTTACTACGTATTACACATTTCAAAGAAAATAAACAGCTATGGGTTTTGTAGTTTTAAAATTAAATTGCAAAATGTTGTTATAAAATTTCGATTTTGTTTCCAAAAATCTAGACATCTAGGGTAAAAACTCAACATGAATTCATGAACAACAAGTGTAGGAGTTTTGTAAATTTTGAAGATGTTGAATGAATGATCCCGTTGTTGCATGTTGGTAAGAATGGTCACCCATGATAGTCCTAACTACACACAAAATTTGACAACAATGAGGATTTATAGTTTCGGAGATTATCTGTCTAATAAAAATCGACAAAGACAGACGACAGACAGAACAAAGACACACCACAGACGACAGAGAGACGACAGGCAGACAACAGATAGACGACAAACAGGCGACGGAGAGATGACAGCCAGATGGAAACTACTTTTGCGTACTTTCGGGGGGAAAATATTAAAGTGTTACAATATTTCCTTAACTTGCGCCCAGAAAGTAAAAACTCTTAAAATATACAAACATGACGAAATGTGTCTAACATCAAAAAGACCCTTTCGTCATTTGAAAATGTTCATTTAGCTTATTTTAATAAAATCTTGTAGGAGTTACAGACGTTTATTTTTATACGCACATTATTCGAAGCGTTGTTTATCCGTTTAAAAGAATATAGAAATTGCAAAACCACCTGTTAATTCTTACAAAATCCTAAATACACAAACACTTAATAAATCATGTCATTAATTTAATCGATTATGTGATAAAATTCAAATTGGATTCTAACGCTCACAGCTTAACCGCACGTTACACTTGACTTCGAATTAAATATTTAATCCGCTTTGACTTATTTATTTAATCTAAATAACACCTAATCTGATGATCTCAAGGTTATTTTGAAATATTGTGAAGTTTTCTACTTCTTTACAATGTTCGATGAGGCATGTCACTATTTTTCGGTGTGTTTGTCTTTTCAAATCCATAGTTTTCTTATTTTGGTTGTTTTCATGTTTTAAAAAGTCTTTCTCAAGGCTACGAGATATTTTGAGTGTTGAGAGAGTCATTTAATAATGATTATTGACTGCAGTTTAATCAATTCAAACTGTTTTCAGCAAACAACACTTAAATCAACAAAATTTGAGCACGATAAGAAAATAATATTAATAATAACAATTCTAAACTTAATACAAGATACGACATCCTATTCTATTACACTCCGGAATGTCGATTATTTCTGGATCAGTAGGTAATATTTCATTCCCAACAGGTATTATTGTACCATTTCACAGGGAAAAATTAACAATACTGGTAATTATCAACCGGTGTAGTAATTACAAAAATAAATAAATAAATAAATAAATAAATAAATAAATAAATAAATAAATAAATGAATAAATAAATAAATAAATAAATAAATAAATATGTAATAAAATAATAATGTTCACGCTTGCTTTCGACCCAAAGCACATCGTATTTAATTTTTTTTTTTGTTTTCTAGATTGTCGTAACAATAACACAGTTTTTCCATAACTAACTTGATATCGTTCTTTTATAATCACTATGTATAATAAAATATTTATATAATAATGTTCATTGTACTTGTTCATATTTGGTAATTAATAAACATAAAGTAAGGGTACATAAATCAAACTAGCAAATTTTAGACACTTTTATTTTCACTTTTATTTTAAACTAAATCATAAAATTACTACAAACTTTATTAATTAACTAGTCATCTACTTATGATTAACTAATAAAATAAAATTGTATTGAAACAAAACACATTCTAACTCTCAACATTTTTGACTCACTCTAACCGCTAAGATTATTCAAATGTTACACTGCGATGAATACAAAAAGTCGCAGAAGAAACTTCATGACAAGAAGTGGTTTAAGGTGCACTAATGCGTAAATGACGTTTCTTTGTCGTTAAGTTTTGTCCGCGACTTTAAGTATTGGTGATTTTTATCAAGAAATTCGTCACCATATGCGAACGTATTTTTGTTATTAGAAAAAAAAAATACTCATATTTTTAAATATTAAACTACATGTTATTAAGATAAAATAGTAACTAGTAAAAAATATGATAAATATAACGCAAAATTACAAATCTATTAAAGCATTAGTAATAACTAGTAAGTATATGTAATAATATACTAGTTATTATGACCTTTCGAAAATTTGATATTAAAGCATACAACAACGTACTTCATTACCGAATTTTTCAAAGATCGTGTTAGGTCTCGACTAGCAAAATTTAAAAATAAAATAACACCTTGGAAAGTTACTAGGAAATCAAATAAATATACAAAAACCACGCTAAGCGATATTTCTGCAATAAAACCAAAAATCCAAGTAAGGCCAAGTAAGAAAAATAGCAGCGCAGTGCGCTTAACTCGATGCTCTGTGCGAATTGCATTATATACAAAGAAACAAGTTGTCAAATTAAATGTTAGAATGACAGAAATCGGCCACCAAACCCCATAGTAAAGAGCAGAATCGGCTGGATAACAAATTCCCGTTTTACTTTTAGCGTAGGAATCAAAGTTTATCACCAACACAATTACAACAATGAGCAAAGGAAGCGTCATTACAAATATAGTTGATTTTTTCATAAGTTGTTCGAAGTTGTATCGTTTTTTAAGTACACTGGCTCTGAATTGGAAAAAGGCTAATAAGAACGTCCAACAAAACTGAACCAAAACAGAATAGTGGACTAAAACCCCTGAAATAACACAAAGAGCATAGTTTTCGAAATATTTGTCAGTATTGTCTGCAATCAAAAATGCTACCATTTGAAACATACCGGACAAACTAAAATATAACAAAACCTTATTTTTTATTTGTTGTCGCCAATTTTCACAGACTAAAGCTGTGAGAATTATACCCATGAAACCAATTAAAGATAATGTGCAATTGACGTTCGTAATCCATTGAAGAGAAATCATTTCAGTTTCAGTATATCTATCTTTATCTGCTCCGAGTAAAACGGACCCAAAGTGCGTAGCATGCCAGAAATCACACTGAATTAAAGACGACGATGCCTTGGTTTCATTGTCTTTTTTCCAAAAACCCGGAATATTTTCGGGCACATTGTACTGCCAGTACACACATGCATTTTGATACATTGTTTGTGAATCCATTTTGTGAAATGTCGATATAGGCCCCGAAAAATTTCCCTCAATTTCAGGAAGAACAACGTCGAAAATAGTGCTGACTGTTTCGTAAATCACATTTTTATTTTCGTTGAAAAGAACGTCTTTCAAGTATATGTTAACTATAATTTTTGAGTTTTGACTCAGTTGATCTTTTAATTTTGGACTCAAAACTAGCGCACTGACTAAATTTTTGTATGTTAGCAACACAGATATGTCAACAGAACCGTTCAAAATTACGACTTCGTTATTGTCAAGAAGTACCAACCCGCTAAAATCGTCGCATTTATAAATCAACGATATAAAGTTGTCTTCAACGATTAAAACATCGCCCGTGTATTCTTGGTTTTCTATTATCACATCAGTGTAGTATAAGATTTCGTCAGTTGCCATTTGAAGTTTCTGACTTTCTACAAGGTTATCTCTTTCAATGTTTTGAATATAGTTAACAATTTGTGTTAACAATTCTAAATTAACTTTTTGATCACTCAATTTTTTAATAATTGCTGCGGTAAGAAAAACGTCTGTAGAGCTAAATTCGTTGTATCTAAAGACTACTTGGACAAGTCTTGAAATAATTTCAACAGAAGCGGCATCAGAGGTTAGTATGTCTATTAAACTTTGTGTTACAGTATCTGGAGATGTTAAAAGCAAAGCTAAACCTCCCCACCGCACAAATGAGCACGTAAAAGAAGATTTGTAGATTTCAAATTGACCTTCTACAGTCCACGCGCTAGACGAATCCCAAACTACACATTTTACATTTTGAGTAAATTGATCTTCCTTAAATTTGTAAAAAACCGTGTATTCACCCTCTGAAAATTCGGTTCCTTCAAACTGGTATATAGCATACGCGTATTCACTCAGCTCATGAGGAAAAAATCCTGCATTAAAAAAATTTGCAATTACCCTAGTTTCTTCTCCCATAGAATTCTCAGGTCCAACATAAATACCACTTTCAAAATTTTCAGTAGTTAATATTTCGTACAAGGATGTGCCTTCAGGAATTTCAATTACTTGCAGTTTATTTTCGATGTTTTGAACAACTACAGCATTTATATCATGATAATATTGGAACACGGCGAACATAATATTTGTTTCTAACACTATTCCATATACGTAAGACGAAAAAAGATATTTGAAAATTGTTTCCAACCAAATATCGGTGGCATGAAATTTTAACTGCGATTCCATTAAAATTTTGCTGTCAATCATTAAAATATTATCTACTACATTACCAAATACTTCAATACTAAATAAAATATGTTGTGGATTGTTAAAATATTCTGAGGTTAAATATACATCAAAGGGAACAAACTCCGTATAAGCATTTAAAATTTCAGGCAGCTGAGAAACAATTTCTTCTCCTGATAGACTTATTAATGATAATAACTTATCCGTTACTGAAGATTTTTCCGGTATCTCACATGTTTCTGTAAGCTCTGCCCAATAAGCACCCTTGATGGGGTCTTCAACACACAGTCTGCCTAAACGAAATCCGTCAATTTTAAAACAGTACTCTTCCGAATATGTTTCAAATCCAGCTGCTGTTTCTGGCCAAGTCAAACCGTTGTCCACAATTTCAGGACAATATTCAACAGCCAGTACACTAACGATTTTAAAATTTACATTATTCATATCGATAAGTGACCTCTGAATTTTTGATGGAGAACACTCAAAACCAACATTTATAGACAGATATTTTTTGTCTTCGTCGAAATCATTTATTTTTATCAGGCGGTAAGGGCAATGGGTGTCTAATAAGTGTTCTTTTAAGAGACCGATAATCTCAGGGTTAAGAGGATTTATACTTTCGTTATATTTCAGGCGGATAGTTCCTATAAATACATCGTTTTGGAAAGAGAGTACGTTGCTGCTTATTGCATTTGCTTCAAAATATGTGAAACCCTCACACCAGTAATTGCCAGACCCAGTATTGAGTCGTTGAAACTCATATACCGCCTGAGTATTATTTTGAGAAATCAGAGTTAAATTTATATAACGGTATAACAGGGTTGAAGAATCTGCATCCGTAAAGCAATAAATAGTGAAATTCGAATTTACTTTACTCGAAAAATAAATGTTTAAGACGAAGTTGAAATCCGTCTTGTAGGTCAGTGTCAAAATTACGGTTGGAAATTCTTCTGGTAAATTTCTTGCTACAAATGAACAGGAAAGTGGTTGTTCGCTCAAAAGCCATCCAGTGGGACTGGAAGCTATGTAAAACTTTGTATCTACAAATACTACTTCTGGGGACCAAAAACTATAATCTATTTCTTGTCCTGACCTAGTCCAAACTAATGTTCCATTTGAAAATTTCTCAAGACCAATCTCACAGGTCTCATTTGTTAAGATTTTATAGATGTTATTTTGATATGGCTCTAAAAATTCAGCTTTGTGACGTGTTGTGTTTGTAGATGTTTCAAGACATATACATCTGGACTTTGCATTTAATGTACTGGAAACACAGTTGTCAAAAGTTTCACATAACGTACCTTGCTTCCGGTGCAGTTTCGTGTAAGCACATACTCCTTGATAACTTTCAAGGCACGATACACCGATTATGTACGAACTATTGTGGTACACGAGACAATTTTTGTTCTTTATTCCACCTTCAAAGAAAAAGGGGTCTTCAAAAGCTGTCTTATACAACCGGCTGTGTTCCGTCCATTGTAAGAATCCAAGACCATTGGTCAAGTTTCGGTGAACTGGCATCCATACAGGTCCAAGATTTTTTTCAGCAATTACGTGCTTGTAAGAATCGAACGGTAAGGTGTTGTTGAATGGACAATTTGGAGGAAAAACTGATGTCTTGCTTAATGTGTAGCAAAATTGTTCAGCATCACTGAAACCTTTCGGACATTCTGGTAGTGATTTAAGTTCAAAATTGTTATTTTTTGCACAGAACTTTGTTTCAAAGCATTCATTGTATACGTTTTTCTTCCTATCGTCGATACACGAAAATGCACTGTAGTCGGTTCTGTTAACAACGTTACACATCTATGAACTTTTTAGTTGTGTTCTTAGCTTCTTTATAACTTACCGGTGATATCTGTAGCAGCGTGCTTTGATTCACGACAATGGCACATATTAAGACGTATTTGAGAACCATTTCAACAATGTGTGTTGCAAGAATACAAAAATAATTTTCTAAATACATTTGAGGACAATTTTATATATTGTAGAAGCTGTAAATAAATATTATTTTTATAGATTAGATTAGATTAATCATAATTAGAGAGCGGATTTATAAGCACAAAAAAATTAAGAATAAGCGCTTAAACAAGCACAACATTTTCAATAAAAAAGTTTTATTTTAAGCAAAAAAGCATTAAATAAGCATAACACTTTCATAAAAAAATTTTTTTAAGTAAAAAAGCATTAAAAACATAATATTACAAATTAAAGAACACTTCTTAGAACTTTGGATAAAATATTATTACAATAATCCTAGACTTTATATTTACACACGTACTTCAGTTTTCTTTAAAACAATTTATGATTGTAATAGGTTCCAAGTTGTCCACTGTAAAATTTTTTCGCCGATCATTTAAAATGTGTTTAAAATTGGAGAATGTGCGTTCAACATCCACACTCGTTGTTGGCGCAAATTTGAATTTTGCAACTAACGTTGAATCTAACTCCAAATTTTCCACCTTCTGGCCTTGTAAAACACGAGCAACGTCGGAAAGAACACCGAAACCTGCATTTTTATTTAACACTTCGTCAAGTTTTTGAGATACTCTAGTACCAATATCACCCCTTATTGCGTTTCCTTGTTGCTTAAGTTCTTTCACTAAGTTTATGGTATGTACCAACAACATGTTGGGTTTTTCTAACTTTTCTGTTACCTCACATACGAATTGATAATTGCTTCTTAGAAAAGCTAGATCTTGTCGCAAATCTTTGTTTTCCAAAATATTTATGCAATCTTTAATCGATTAAGAAGAATCTTCGCTAAACTCCGTAACTACTTCCTCAAATTCTTTGATATATTTGTCATAATAAAATGTGGCCTGTAACCATGTTCCCCACCTCGTTATAATCGGCTCTGGGGGCAATGGTATGTTTGGAAATTTTTCCTTAAAATGTTGCACTCTTAGTGGGGCTTTAACAAAAATCTTTTCACCATTTGCCACTAATTTATTAACAGTAGGAAACTGCAAACGTATTCCTTCAGCCACTCTGTTTAAACCGTGGGCAATGCAAGTAGAGTGAATTAAATTGGGGTACAATATTTTTAGATTATTCCCTGCTTTCAACATATAATGAGCTGCATCCGAGATCATCAATAAAATTTTATTCGCCGATACGGCATTTGCCAAAAATAGTGACGTAAGACTGTCATTTACAAATCTGGTAATCGTATTGCCATTTGTTTTATCTAACATTTTCAAACTTACTACATACCCTCGACTAGCGAAATTTTCATTTAAGATTCCAACAATTAAACTTGCCACGTATCTTCCACAACTATCGGTTGTTTCATCGACAGCGAACCATAAATAATTATCTCCAATGCGATGTTTAATTTCGTTGTAAACTTGCCGAAACACTGGGCCTACATAATTTTTTCGGAGAGTACTTTCAACCGGAATATGTCGATTGCATTATTTTTCAAGGAACTCTTGAAGAGGGCCTTTCTCCAATTTTTTTAAAGGTATATTGGACTGGATCATCATTTTACATAAATCGAAATTAAACTGAAACTACTCATCTTTTGTGGAAGTAGATGCAACAGATTCATGTGTGGTCTGCTGTTTAATTTTAGAAACTTCAAACATTTTCTTCCTTTCTACATGAAGAGTCGTTCTGACATGTTGCGTCACGTTATATTTTTTATCACTTTAAATCTAAAACAACGTACATATACAGGATTAACAAAGGAAAATATATAAAAATAAAAATTAGTGGGCTTACGGTTTTCACACAAGCTCTGCAGAATATTTTGTTGTTTTCTAAATTTAATTCTGGAAAATCCCTTATCCACTCATCCGGCGTCACATTTACTTTCGGCAATCTTTTAAAATATTAGTAACATTACCAAAAAAACTCAACATATAACAAGGGAGAACCACGTATAACACTGTACTACGACAGATGCGATAAACGGATGGTTGTGAAATAAACTGTTCATTTACTTAAAAGTTTCCATTAGAAAAATTTTAAGCTAGGTAGTTGGGTACAATAATCCTTTTTTCTAGAAAATCTTCAACGGTCTTGCCGCAAAATGCCGAAAAAGAACATCTGGTTAAAAGCTTTAATTCATTATCAACGGAAGTAAGGATTTAAAGTCATAAAATCTATGGAGTATTTTTCCAATCCTATAATAAAATTTTATTACCCAAACGACCGGAACCTATTCACAGAAAGGGTCTTGAGTAAGTGTACTTCAATGGTCAAGTCCAGGTAAAGTGCATACGATACGATACGGCTAACTAACAAGTATTTGTCATCCCGACAAGGCCGGCATTTCAACAAAATATGCATTAAAACTCATATTCGTCGAAAACAGTATTAAATAAGCATATAAGTTTTAATATGCATAAAATTGAAAAAAAAAAGCAAATAAGCATAAAAAAAATGTGTCAAATGACTCCAAATTGTATCATAGTTACAGATATAAAAAAGTTTTGAAGTGCTTACATTTTTCACAAAAAGCATTAAACCTAGAAATCCGCTCTCTAATCATAATCAACCAATTTGTTAGTGCGAAAAAAAAAATTGGTTTAAAGAGTTTAGACAGTACTTCCCTCGCTGTCGGAAACTTGACGACTGCATGCCTATTGTGTTTTTTTTTCTCATTACATTTTTGTAGTGGGAATTTAAAAAAAAATTGTGATGACGTCATCAACATTTTTGCAAGGACACGTATATCAGTTGGGATAGATGTAGTGTAATACTAAGAATAAAATTATTGTATTCCCAAATTTTCGGGAAAATGAATTGGGTCGTTTTGAATATTGATTTCTTATAATCAATAAAATAACGAAACAATTTACTCACGTATACGGCGCCGGTGTGTAATATCTAGAGAGCGGATTTCTGTCGGGCTAGGCAAGGCCAAACTCGGTACGGCTCGTACGGGATGCGAATTCATTGCGGTTGCGGACTGCACTTCGTTTATTTGAGATTAGAATCACGCTGTTTCGTTGCACTCTGCTGTTAATTCCCGTTCTCATTTACTTAGCCGTTTGATTAATAAATCGTTAATTATATTTACGGAATTAGTACCGATTAAATTCGGTGATTATCTATCACCCGGCGATCCAGCACGTCCCCCCCTATAATCGTGACGTAGCCCGACAGAAATCCGCTGTCTAGTAATATGAGGGGCAACTGAAAATCGTTTATGTATAAACATTCTTAATTTAAGATGACAAGCGTAACAGCATACGTGAGAGTCAAACAGAGAAACTGTAAACAAAACGACCATCGGTTTTATTGCTTCGACTTCCGCTTATTATATAAAACATTGGGTTTTATTTTAATTCTTGACGGTGAAATTCACAATTGGTTGATTATAAACATGTCTATTCCACATTCGCGGAACCAAGTGAGCGCATAAAACAAATGCAGGTCTGTAATGTTAAAGTCGATGTAAATAAGCGTGCTACCCTTATGTTTCAACCGAGTTTTTCCTTTAACAAATTTTGTGTCCACCAAATTGGGTTGGTTGGGGTGTAATACTAATAATAAGTGTTGCCTTTAATTTAATCAATAAAATAAATTGACTTCATTAACTTTTTTGAACCACCTCTTAAGAAAATCTAAAAAATATGAATGGAATGATAAATCACAAGTACAAACTCATCATATTTTTTGCATTTTAGATAGGATTTATTCAGCAAAATTTAAGGGTGACGTCATCAATTTTTTTAGGAGGGATGAACAAATACATTTTGAACAAAAGTTTACCATGCTTATAATAACTTTAAAATATTCCCAAGATTTCAAGGCATTCGGTTTTGTAATTCCTGATTAAGTCGATAAAATAAATTCACGCATTCATTAATTTTTTTGAGTCACCCTGCATATGCAAATCCAAAAATATGAATGGAATGATAAATCACAAGTACAGACTCATCATATTTTGTACATTTTAGATACGATTTATTCGGCAAACTTTTGAGCTGACGTCATCAGTTTTTTGTAGAAGATAACCAAATATATTTTGACTAAAAATTTATTATGCTCTTTATAACCTTAAAACATCTGCAAGATTTCAAAGCATTCGGTTTTGTAGTTCCTGATTAAACCAACAAAATAAATTTACGCATTCATTAATTTTTTTGAGTCACCCTGTATATGCAAATCGAAAAAATTTGAATGGAATGATAAATCACAAGAAGATACTCACCATATTTTGTACATTTTAGATAGGATTTATTCAGCAAAATTTTGTGGTGACGTCATAAATTTTTTAGGGGGGACGACCAAATACATTTTGATCAAAAATTTACCATGCTTATGATAATTTTAAAATATCTTCATGACTTCGAAGCGTTCGGTTTTGTAGTTCCTGAGTAAATCAGTAAAATAAATTTACGCTTTCATTTGTTTTTTTGAATCACCGTGTATATGCAAATCCAAAAAATATGAATGGAGTGATAGATCACAAGTACAGACTGATCATATTTTGTACATTTTAGATATGATTTATTCGGCAAATTTTCGAGCTGACGTCATCAAGTTTTTGGAGGGGATAAGCAAATATATTTTGACTAAACATTTATTATGCTCTTTATAACCTTAAAACATCTGCAAGATGTCAGAGCATTCCGTTTTGTAGTTCCTGATTAAATCAATAAAATATATTTACGCATTCATTAATTTTTTTGAGTCACTCTGTATATGCAAATCCAAAAAATATGAATGGAGTGATAAATGACAAGTACAGGCTCATCATATTTTGTACATTTTAGATATGATTTATTCGGCAAACTTTCGAGCTGACGTCATCAAGTTTTTGGAGGGGATAAGCAAATATATTTTGACTAAACATTTATTATGCCCTTTATGACCTTAAAACATCTGCAAGATTTCAAAGCATTCGGTTTTGTAGTTTCTGAGTAAATCAGTAAAATAAATTTACGCATTCATTAATTTTTTTGAGTCAC